TGAAACCGCTTACTACTTGTCGGGTATCGAGGCTACCGCAGCCAGAGCGGAAAACCATTTCAGTCGGCGTCAAACCTCCGGCTTTGGAGCCGTCGCTTCGCGACCGTTCGATGGTCTAACACCGGTCATGAACGCCTGTACCCACAAAATCGAAGCGCCGACAATGGCAGGTTAATAAGCGTTTGATGATGCATCCATTCCCACAAATGGCGTCGCTGTAGCTCAATCGGTAGAGCGCCAGAATGCCCCGCGACCGGCGGGGGTTTCACTGCCGGGCTGGAGAATTCCGCTGAACAGTGTGCCGCATTCTGCACAATCCGGCGTCACGTATTGCACTCAAGCGACAACGGGCGTCGCCTGGTGCTGGCCGGCTGAGAGATGCGGGTTCGAGTCCCGCCAGCGCGCGCCGAAGTACTTTTGCCAGCACCTCTGCATGAAAGGCTACAATTGATTCGTCTGAAGTTTGAACCCTCCTTTCGATTATTTGGCGGCTTAATTAAGGGAGGAGGGGAACAAATCGTGAGCGTTGCTGCGAGAAGAGGAAGTTATTAGAACTTTGGAGATGCAAAAGGCGTTGAGTTTCAGGGTAACTTTCTGGTGTTCAACGCGGGTGGATCGACGTAGAGAAACCGGCTCTAGCACTTCCAAGTCCAGGTGACTTAGAGGTGTCAGCTATTGTAGCTACCATTCTCGTTCTTTACTACCTCCACTCCAGGCGCAGCTGCAGCCCACAGTAGATTGAACCATTTACAAACCAAGAGACACGTCCAGGACACTCCTCGAATTTGATAAGACACGCTTACATAGATTACACGACCGGTACCTTTGAGACTTGTTTTCTGCTTTTCTCTGGCAACCTTGACATAAGCTGGGATTTTGACAAGCAAGCCGCGGCCAGGTTGGACTTCGCCTTTGAAGACCTCTTCAATGTCGCGCCGCATGATCTAGCGCCGTGGCATCAATAAGCAACACAAAACCTCTCGATTCGACCACTTCGTAAGCAGCAGTCTTCTTTTTATGCAAGTACCAAGTGATCAGTTGGTAAGTGAGGTCTTCGATAAGTAGCGAGAGTTGCCTTGTTTTTGCCATTCCTCGTCTTTCGACATTTGAAAAGACGGGTCGTTAACAAATCAATGAGGTTCTCTCTTGTGACCATCAATGCGCTTCAACGGCGAAAGGCACCCGGCTGACGGCTCACAGAACGCCGAAGACTCTCCGTGACGACACCTGGCATCGACTGATGCTCGTGTAACAGCTCCTTCAAACTTCCTTCGAAGTGTTTACTTTTCGAAGGAATGGCTCTTTGCCACTCATACGCTGGCCCCGCTGTTTATGTTCTCCCTTTGCTTCGCTCCAGAGCGCCATCACTTTTCAAACGCTTTCTTGAAATTTCGTTCTCACGGCTGCCCGAATTTGGCTTACTACTTGACTTTAATGATTCGCACTAGTTGGATGTGGTATCAAGGCTACTGCAGCCAGAGCGGAAAATCATCGAAGGGGGCCGCAGACCTCAGGCTTCGGATTAGCCATCGATCGCCTCGCGACCGTTCGACGATCTTCGAAGCAATACCCACAAAAATCGAAACCTCGAGAACGGCAGCGTAATAAGCACTTTAAGATACAATTCTCGCACAAGGCAGCGATGTAGCTCAATCGGCAGAGCGCCAGAACACCTGCGCTCGGAGGGGGTTCCACTGCTAATGGCTGCGCTGCGCGCCGGGGAGGTGTGCCGGATTCTGCGACTGCGGCGCGACGTTACGAGCTGCGTATCGCGCTGACTCTGGCGCTGGCCGGCTGAGATGCGGGTTCGAGTCCCGTCAGCGCCGTTTCCTTTTCTCCTGCACGGTTGCTGCAGGACTTTGATACTTACAACAAATCTTTTTGTTGTTTCAAAAACTCAAACGAGGACGAGGATGCGGCCTGAGCATTGAAGAATGACGAAGTAACGAATACGTAAACGGTCCAAGGCGTCGAGTTTGGCAAGGGCAAATACGTTTGACCAGTGTTGTCCACTTTCACCGGCTTGACTAATGTAGCCATCCCTAAAGAAGTTGAAGTAGTTGATAGAAGCCCGTCGTGAGATTGACGTAACAAATTTCTCCCACAGATCCCCGAGATCCGTCTGCTAGCTACATGACAAAGACGGGCCTGAAAGCGTGACAGCCAACCAGAGAAGCTCTTCAAAAGCCGTTATTGTGAGCTCGAGCGCTTTGCTCCAGAGTGTTGTGCGCAGGGTGCTGCTAACTCAATGTTCAAAGAAGACAATGGTATCGAGAAGTTTGGCCTTCATGATTTTAACTCGTTCAAAGTCTTGGACACGTTGCACAGCTCTACTTGGAGATTCCCGCTTGCGCAGGGCTTTCACCAAATTAGATGTACAGCGTAGCAATTGAGAGTCGCTTTAAGTCCTCACTTACTGTAGATGATTCACCCGGCTAACTGCGAGAGTGAGAGGTGCCAAGGGCTGGGAGCAAACATTGCAGGCCCTGAAGTGATACTCGCGACTGTCGGCAGAACGTCTAGAGGAAGGCCCTTCGTTTATAGTGTTCGTCACATCTTTGACATGGGTCCTGGTGCTTACTAGAAGAACCAGAGTGCTCAAAGGCCGGTTTGTTTTTTATGAAGACTGCGCCACGTTTCCAAACGTGCTTCCTTTCTATTGGGTGGCTTGTTTTGTGGATGGTGGGCACACAACGTATTGAATCCAACATATGTTGAAAGTGTTTTTTTAAATCTGCGGAACTCATTCTCGGCTTTCCAATCAGCTTGCACGTTTGCCTCAGATTGAAAACCCACCCTGAAAAGTGGCCACTTGCTCTCTCTTTGAAAGATGATGTAAAGACAGGGACGGGTTAGGAATGAAGCGCAACAAAGCCCTTTGTCAGTCCTTCAGGAGCGACTTCCACTTCTTTAATTTTATTTTTGTTCAAGTATCAGAGCCGAGGACCAAAGGGCTTTATATCATTTATCCAGCTTTATAAGTAAATTAGCTCTGAATGTACTCAGTCTCTGCGAGAAAGGTGAATAATTTAGCCAGTCTTCTGGAGGCGTAAAAGCAGCACGCGTGTATGATCAAGTTGACAGAGCCAGACTGTCTTGCAAGCAGACCCCCCCATGCATACGTTTCTTGAAAGCCTTACGAAATAACGAGCAACGATGCTGATTAGTGCCAACAGATACGAGCAGATGTGAGTTTGTTCAAACCATCGAGGGATCGTCACCGTTCAAGCGCCTCATCCAAAGGTCCAGGTGGCCGACTCCAAGTCGACCCACAGGCAGCGCAGATGCAAACCGTGTCGTTTATAAACTCAAGTCCAAGCACGTTACCAATATCGAAGGGGCTGTAGCTCAATCGGCAGAGCGCCGAACCGCCCGCCAGATGGAGGGGCCGGGGAACGTTCCGGGAGTGGTTGGATCCATTTTCTGGAAGCCAAGGGGGGCGGAAAGTTCACCCATAGGGTTGAGCACAGACACACTGTGCTCGGGTCCCCGGGGGAGCCGTCAATTAACCCAGCAACACCCCCCCGGGGCCAATACAGCCCCGAGGATGCTCCGTGCGGTCGGGTGGGCCCGGGGTGCTGGACCGGCTGGGAGATGCGGGTTCGAGTCCCGCCAGCTCCACAACTTTTGGGAAATAAGTGAGGCGGTACTTGCAAATATGCGGCAAATCAGCGTCAGCATATAGAGAAACTGCTGATCTCCTGAACGGCATAGTAGACGCGTACGGGTTTGTCCTGTAATCTTCGGTGAGCTCCCAGCATGGCAACGACAACACTCCTGCAGGTTTGATGAATTGAAGGACTTCTTCTTAGTATCATAGCTTCTCACAGACTTTGTCGCTTCGTTGTACTCATGAAACCTCGTTACAGCTTTGTGAATTCTGCTTCTACACATTATACTTTTGAACCTCTACGTCAAACGGAAGGAACGGCACGTGCTTTGCCATACCCCTCAATTTTGATTTGCAATCAAGTATCGAACGCGAGCTTCTAAAGGAGTGCTACCAAGGCTCACTTTCGGTCTCTCGACCATTCTCGAGATCGATATGCCGGGTGCCCCCCTCTAAAAGCCTATCCAGTACAATCCTGGATGCTTGCAGGAGACGTACATTGACGAGGATAGATCATATGAATGATCCAGGAAGAGGGCTTCTTGGGAACTTCCTCGGTAGGACCTATGATCAATGTTGAAGCGAACTTTTCGAAGTGCCACCACCGGGTTTTTTTCTGTTTTGGAAGGTCCGAGTTTACCATTGATCTCAAAGCCCCTGATTTTAGGAAGAGACGAGAAGCTGCGAACTCATCAAATCATCGGTTGAAAATAATGCCCGACAAAAATTGGACTCCAGGGGAATATCAGTGAAGTGCCCAGTATATCACGTTCTTCGCAAAGAAACTTATTCGCACAAGCCTTTGCTTCTCGCAACCTGCTAGGATAACTGCCAGACAGCAATGACTGTCTGTCGAGCGTTCTCAGTGCCGCAAAGAGTTGAGGCGCGGCTTGCACTGAGCATCAAAAGCAAGACACTTAGGGCGTCACGAGACTTTGCCGGGTGGCCTTAGGACTGAGCTGGTGGCACGTTAACGTTGATTGCATCGGACCTGGCAGCTTTTTGGCTCTTCAAAAACATTCTGGCGGTTGACATGACATGAGAGGTTTATTTGAGAGCCGCGGCAAACGAGCATATGCCGGATCCAGTCGATCTACCAGTCACGAATGCTGATTTCAGTGGACCCGAAGATTTGAGTTGCATGCGATCCTTGTTTTCCAGATGCAGAAAGAAGACGCAGAAAAAAATGAGCTGATTGGATTTAAGGCTCGCTTCGTCAGTCAACGCAGCATGATCTGAAAGTGACGATCTTGAAATTGGCAACATCTTGCTTCTAGCAGGCTAACTCATGCTCTCACTCAACGCCATGACGGTCATGTCATGCATTCGGAGCATATATGAAAATCGATCTTCGGAGGGCCATGGGCGGTGGCCACGAACTTGAGCTCATAGGCGATATGCGGTACGAGTCATTCAATGACGTGAAATCATTCCCAACTAAAACGACAAAAGCCGGCTCTACATTGCATCCGACAACTTGTTTTGGTCAAGTGGACGAATTTACTCCTGACGTTCATGGCTCGCCTGTTTTCAGGGCATCGCCCTAACGACTCATCTGAACGTTTTACTCTGACTAGGTCTTCTGAGTGCGCTTGTCCATTTTGCAATAGCTACCTCCTCACTCTCTTTGAGAGAACCGTTCCTTTCTATCCATGCTTCGCAGGGTGGCCTCTCGTTCCAAGTGGAGGATCTCCTGCAAGGCAGTCAGGAGATTGCTTGAAAAGCTCGGCTGATTTTAAGGAGGTGCTGACAAAGACGCTGCAGCCGGAATGATTTCACTCTGGGATTGATTCTACGGAATTCACATTCAGACCTGAAAGCCAGAACCATCAACGCGTCGTATCGTCGTGTACCTTGACCTGACACGAATTAGTCCAAGCACAATCCAAGCACTCTTTCACCAAATTTCACAACAGTAGGATTTAGATGCAACCCCACCCTTCTCGCCCCTGATCATTGCCCATAAACTACAAACCATCGCCATAGCCTACCTGCAGCTGCTCCTGTGCGAAGAGCTCCGCCGCTCCCCTCGTTGCGATCACTTGCACCACGTCGGTCGCGGCCTCGTCGATCCTAAACCCTTCAAATCCTGCGAGGTAAATCCGCGCGTGCATGGCGCGCAGCGCGAGCGACGGGATGCAGCAGTGCCGGCAGAGGCTTCGCAGGAGGGGGGGCGCCTCGACGGGGCCCACGTCCCCCCCGAAAAGAAACCGGGCGTCGATGCGGGAGGGCCGAAGGAGGAGCTGGTGGGCTGGAGGGGGAAGGCCGCCTGCGAGGGGGGGAAATTGGCGACGGGCTTAGCTTTCACGGCGGTTGGGGGAGAATGCGAATCATCGAGGACGGAAAGCTGGTCAGCAGAAACGGAAGAGCGGACTGACGGAGGAGCGGTTGCCGGAAGCAGGTCACCAGGGAAGCTCCCAAGCTCTGACAGGAGACGACCACCCTGTCACTTTCTCTGAACATCATACAGTTGGTGCGCAAAAGTTAACAGCCCACGGAAAAAGAAAAGTCTTTATGATCCGTCTGGTGTCTTCCCCTTTTTCCCTGCTGCAGTTATAGCGATACAGAATATGAAAGCGCTCCACTGTCTCTTCTGGCAGAGGCTCTCACCGCTGACTGCGGCTGCCAACAGTCGAACTAGGACGGCGCCATCCGCATCTCCATGTTCCGACACGTCCCGAGACGCTCGCAGCTTCAGCAGCCCGGTGTTCCCAGGGAGGGGGTTTACGTTAACCTGCCGATAACGAAACGCCCAGCAATCAGGCTTCATTGTCCGGTCCGAGTCGGACTGCACCGCATCAAAGTGTCTGCTTGATGGTCAACACGCAACCAATCCCATAACCCGCATCCGCGCCTTTTGCAACCCGCCCGTTTACATTTGGCTTACTGCTATCTGTTGCCCGCCTCCTCCACGTGACTTGATCTCCACGCTGCTCGACCCTACCGCTCTCAACATATTAGTGATCACCTTTTCTGTGAGTCCTTCCGGCAAAAACAACTCAGACGAACCCCTAACCCGCTCACAAACCTACCTGAATGTCGTTACCCTCTGCGGCCCCCTCTTCGACGAGCGCCATGATCGCATCGTGTACGGCACTGCACTCGGCTCGGCCCGCTGGCTCGAGCTTCCCATCCTTCCCAACCAGAGCCGCAGTCATCTCAACTTCTTCGGACGTCACCCCGACGGGGCTCGGCGCGTCCAGCTCCGCTTCGGACAGCCAGCCTGCAAAAAGAAGACTTGTGCTCGTTTGTTGGTTGCAACAGAGCGCTCTGGTGTGACAAGGCTAACTAAAGCAAAAGAAGGAAGACGTTTGCGCTTGCTTTGCTGAGTCTCACCGGATTGAGAGTTTCAAACTGCCTTCTAGGGACACTAATGACCTAGCAGACTTTGAGCGTAATCTACGTGACAACGAACCTCTCAAGTAACAGGTCGACCTTCCAGACTTTTTAACAATGTCCGATGCGCGACTTCCCCGTATACGAAACCAAAGCGGATTTGGTCATGTCTTCATCTTCGGGCGCCCTAGGAGACGACTGATAGACGAGATAGACGAGTCCGCCGAGCGAACGGTCGCAAGCGCAACCAAAGCGAGAAACCCGCAGAAACTTCGCAAGACCATGCTCTTTCCATGCGGTCCACTTGGCACCCAATCTTGACCGTGACTGACGTCACTCGCTCGTCACAGTATACGTGTCCCACTCACCATCCAGAATCTCCTGCACTCCTTGTATCGCCTGCTCAGCCAATTGCCGCGCCTCGTGTGCCTCTTCCGGTGTGAGCTGCCCCGCCCCGATGCGCCGGTTTGCCTCGTCGAGAAGGGCCCATCGCCTGAGGAGGCCGTCGCACCGGAAGTAGCGTTCCTGCAGGTGCAGCATTCGCCCGCATCACACCTTTGAAGAACCAAACATGGGGCCTTGCGGCCATCAAATTGTATCTCGATAGAGGCGGAGCAATGAATCCGTCATGTCGAATAGGGGAATGCTCACACTGAAGCAGGCAATCAAGAACGACGTAAGCTGCGCCCTCCCACAACTTTTACAAGGGTTCAACTCGCGCGACCAACATGTTCAGTGAGACGCTGTATCACAGCAGGCGGCTCAGCGTTGCAACGCACATGGCGCCGAGGGCCTCCACAGCAGGGCGCGGGTCGTCTGGCCAGAAGGGCTGCCACGAAGGGATAGCAACTAACAATCGAGTGAGTAGATTCCGACCAGTTGCATTTCGAAGCGAATCACTTATCCCCCTCTTGCAGCGCGACTTACCCACTCCCGCTTTTCCAGCAGCGCCGCCTCCAAAGTGTCCGCATCCACCATTCGGACGGCGGCCAGCTCTTCGGTCGGCGACAAAGCAGCGTCCGAAAGGTGCTCCAGGAGTCCGGCGGCGGCCCGTGCGGTGCCTGGGGCTGCGGGGCTCCAGTCTTGAGCCGAGGCGAGCGCTAGCTCGCGCAGGATGATATTGCTGCATAATAAAGATTAGAGGAGTTTATACATTATGCTGATGAGCGGCAAGAAGCTCCGATCTTCCTTATATGTGGTCCTTAGCTTGCTAGAGGAGTATAGACATTATACTGATGAGCGGCAAGAAGCACCACTCTTCCTTAATGGTCTTCCTTAGCGTGCTAAAGAAGAGGAGATGACTATGTTGTTTAAAACGAAATACCAGAAAGCCCTCGCTGGATTTGCGGTATAAATGTCAGATGCTCGGAAGAAGAAACGTTGACGCAAGACAGGGGAAAGCGCAAAGGCGAAGTTGCGAGTGCCGGAGGAGCGCCCACTGATTCTCTGGTATGACCATCGGGCTGGCGAAGATACATCACCTCCGATCGAAAGCAAGAGATAGGGACCTTTTTGACATGAATACTGGGAGAGAGGGAGACCAGTGAACCCCTTGATAAGTGAGGGCAACGATCCGGCTATAACCTCTATCCAAGCCAAAGGGAAAAGGTGACAAGTACTTCGCAATATGAGGCGTTTTCCAAACCATTCCATGCGACCTTGTACAACGTCCGCTGCCCCGCAAACTTGCACTGCTAAGACCGTCGACCGAGTCCCGTGTTCAAGCCAGTGAACTCGTCAAAGGCCCTGTCAATCGCTCTTCGACGATATCTCAACTGCGACGAGGCCTTGCCAATGCGACTCACCCGTGCAGCAGGGCCTTCGCCGTGAGTTCCGGCCGGCATTCCGCCCATTGCACCGGAACCGGCAGGAAGAGCCAGTCCATGGCGCGGGTCCGGCGGAATGCCTCCAACGACAAATGTTCGGCAGCGGGAACACCTTCTGGGGGATCCTGGTCAGCACGTGACTCGACCAAGACTCTGCAGCGTTACGAAAGTGTTCAGAAGTCTAAGGAATCATCTCGTTCGATCCAAAATACGTCCAAATGTTGATCGGGAAGATACACCAGGCAAGACGTCTACACCGCAATACCAACGGTCCAACGAGCTTGGCATGACAGCAGCCGTCCTGAGGGAGAAGTTCATTTGCTGGCTTCGTGTTGCAACCCTGCCGCTCGTCAGTTCGATTGAAGCCTTCCGCCCGTCCTTTTGATGTCAAACTTTTCGGCACAATCTTTACCTGTCCAGTATTTGGCACACGGAGCCCTCTCCGCTGAAGTCAAGCTCCTGCAGCGCCCCCTCGAAGATCCGTTGCTTCACCTCCAATCTGCAGATAAGAGAGGCTTCCGTTTGAGCAGATCGGCACACGACTTCCAGAAGAAGTCTCGACCTGGTTCACAGGATTTTCTCGCCCATACAGTTTGCCAACATGTCAGACCTTGTGGTGGTTGGATACTCGTCACGTTCCGGGGAAAGGCAGACAAATGCCTCCCCGAGTTCGCGGAACCTCACTAACTGCAGATGGGGAGCATATCGAACGATACGGTTGACGATTTCCGGACTCCGCTCCGGAAAACTTGTGGCTTGGCAACCCCAGACCGACAACACCATGCCTAGGCCCTGATCCTTTTCACATGGAGAACCACCAGTCCAAACGGTCCAGAAATTTGTGGATGATTTCAAGTGGATCAAAGAACAAAGAAGATGATTGGTTGACACGGAGTCCCTCACCCGGCCCCCTGTTTCATATCCAGCAGATTCGCGTACAGGTCGACTCGCGCAAACGCCACCAGCTGCGCTGCGTAGAGGGCCACCAAGTGCTCCTGCTGCTCAGCCACCAGTTGCACCGCATACCTGGAACAATGGAGAATCCTTTGAATATTCAGGAGTAGGAAGTCACTTCGGGTTGAAAGCTTAGAAGGAAAACGCGAAGCCTTGCTTTCTGAGGACCAGAGAGTTCGGAGTTCAGAGCCCGAAAGAGCTTGTGCAGTCTGAGTGGGAAAGATGAATGAGTCAAGGGGAAACTTCGTAGAGACCGCACATTGAGGAGGGGCTAAGTGGGTTTATGGACGAGCAGGTCACCAAGGGATGCACGGCCCCTCTGATGAGAAGCGGTGATGGAAGGTCGGGAACAAGTGCTGCAAATTGGGCTTCCGATGCACGAAACAACAACATTGAGACTTTCAGCTGTCTGAGAAGCGCCGTGCGCTTTCCCTTTTGACACATTAGCTCATTCTACTCAGCGTCCCCGTCGATTCGCGAATGGATCCCCGACAGAAGAGTTGCGAGGTTGCGGCAATCCTACGTGTCACATCCCGACAAACAGACACGGTCAACGAGGACTAGTGAGGCTGCCGCAGAGGTGAATTTCTAAACCCTGGGGAAAAACGAAACCCGCCATTTCGTGACGGGCGACAAGTCCGCGGCCCCGACAGCGCTGAAAACCACCGCAGGATAATGTGAGAAGAACCAACCGCCGTCAGGCCGCTTTCCGCAAGTAAGCCTGCCCAAGAACTTGCTTGCTGTACAAAAAGTACTATCGTCCGACATCAAGTCGACCATGATTGAGAACGCGCCCGCTCACATGTTGATGATGACGTTGCAGGTGCGCTGGAGGTCCTCCTGGAAAAGGTCCTCGTCGGGCGGCAGCACCTTCCGTAGCGCCAGCACTAGATGGGCCGCGAACCGGATGAACTCCGGCTGGCTACGGGGCCTGCGCACCAAAGTCGTCGGAGTTAGTTCCTTGTGCAAAAGTTCAGAAAGTCAGGACGTCTTGAATGTGGGGGTTGCTAACTTGATTGACAGTGAGGTTTCTGCGTAGTTGTCTTCTGGGCCAAAAGCATCGGCCGCTAGTGCAACAACACGTGCTCCAATCCTGCAGCGGACCAGCAGTGCCCTTTAATGGCTGATCCGCACAATGCTATATGACATTGCGAATACCAGGCTTCTTAACCACGAGCAGGTTACGAAAGGCAGGGTCATAGAGCCCTGCTCCAAGTATAGCGACTCAAACGAGAATTATACTGTCGCGCGGCAGGGACCGCTGATAGGCCAGGCAAGCTGAAAGCCGTCTCGTTTTGAAGCTGAGACGCAAGTAACCAGACCCGCATACTGGTTTCACAATTGAACGTGAAGCAACCTCTTGAACAGCCAAAAGCTACGCAAGTCAACCGTCGGTGCCTTTATTCTTGCTTTAGTAGTGGACTACCGATTCTTCTTTGAGCACAGTTCGCACATAAAACCTGCTTGAGGGCTATTGGGAGCCCACCTGCCCGTTTCCGCGGTGGGGGTGACGACCCAATGCTTGAGGCAGTCCACGAGCTCCCCCCAGCGGTGGAGAATGATCAGCGTTTGGATCATCCGCTGCTGATCCTTGCCCGCCCGCTGGACCGAATCCGGGAGCTGAGGACTGCAGTCGGAAAGAGGACCATTCCCAATATTGGGAACTTTTCCGGACACTCCAACAACTAATGCAAGACAAGACCCGCGCTGTCGTTACTATCACAAGACGATCCAAGACCATACCAGATTTCACAAAAGGTTTTTGAAAAGAGAGCAATTACCTCGGTAAAAGGTAACACTGGGTATAATATATATGTGGTTCAACTGCTTCGTTTGTTCTGAAGGAACACTCTCTGGCACATCAACGTGGGGGCCCGCTTCCAAAGACCCGTCCCAGAACTTCTGTCCATCCCCTCAAGTTCGCCCCCGAACGTCATTCCCGACATCACCTCAACTCAGCCTCGCATCGCCCATGCAGAGTCGCTTTGCAGATGGAACAACTCAAGCGGAACTAGCTTGCCCTAAGACCATTTTGATGAATCACAGCTCCCCGACAATGATCCCCTACCTTGTCTGCAGCCGTTCGAACACCTCCGGAAAGCTCTGCGGCTGCTGTGCCAGCACCGGCGCCGGCCACCCCCCCGCCGCCGACGAGTTCTTGTACGCCTCCGCGATTGCACTCCGTTTCTCTTGGCTCCCGCTTAGCTCATCAGGAGAAGGAGAAGGCCCTGTGAGGCCCTCTGCTGCGTGCGCGTCAGCCAGTGCTGAGTCTACTTGCGAGTCAAGCCAACCCCGGAACAGGGCCCAGCAGGCAGCCTCCCAGGTGTCGCAGACCGGGAGCATTTTGGAGGTGTTGGCGGAGAGGGCGCCGTAGACGGCGGCCTCGTACTTGGACTCGCCGCCCTCGCCACCCACCTGATTGGATTGAGAAGAGAGGAAACAATCAAGACTTGGAGGTGAGCTTTTTGTAGAGCTTGGGTGCATCAGAACCAGGTCCCTCCAAAGCTTCTCGTTGACCATTTCAGGCCCGACTCTTTCCGGCCACGCACTAAAGGGTGCTGCGGCAGCCAGGATACACACTTCTGATATAGAACATGGTCCGGTCAACAAAAAACGGAGAGGAAAAGGACGCGCTCTGAAAGATTAGGAGCCTCTTCACTACTTTCCAAACGGACGAGTATCCCCTTCCTCAGTCATCCCCCTAACCCCACACAAGAGTCGGTCGTCGGCAACCGGACAGCCCACCTTTTCAGACGCCAAGAAGCACGTCCACTTCCACAAGCGCCGCTGGCGCCCCCGCCCCGCCTCAATCTCCGCCGCCTGCTCCTCTCTCGCCCGCTTCGTTCCCGTCAAACCCCTAAACCCCTCCACCGACGGCACCGGCCCGGCATCCCCTGTGCCCCCTAGACTGGCGGCCCGCCACGCCTGTCCGACATCTCGGCACAGCTGACGTGCGTCCGAAAGGCGTCCGGCTTTGAGCAGCGTCCAGACCCCCCGCATCAGAAGTTCCTCGTCTTCCGAGTCCTGGGGGTGCAGCCTGAGGTTCTCGCGGGTGGGGGCGTCGGGGTCGACGTGTGAGACCAGGTTGGAGGGGGGGCGCTGGGAGGATTTGAGTGCCTGGCAATGGAAGGAAGGGATGGTCGGTAGTGGCGAAATGGAGCTTCGGAAGGTACATGCCTGTCCTTGAGAGAAAACCAGCCAGTCCTTGTCTTCGAAATAGAGTGGTATTGACGTCAAGCAGGGAATCTACGTTAAGGAAAAGAAAGGACTACGCAGACCTTGCAATCCTTCGGGCCCACCCTGCAGAGCGCGTGCAGCCAAACCTCCACACCTAGGACATCGGTTAATAATGACCACTTGGGACAACTAGCGAAACATATCCTAGCACCAGCCCAGAGACTTTCTCACCAGCAAGCTGTTATCTCCAAAAGCACATTCATTCCTTCATGTATAAGCTACAAAGTATACATCACGTCAGTATTCCCCCCCACCTGTGCGGTGCGCACCCAGACCCCCTGGCTGTGGCGCAGCAGCCCGGCGTACCCCCCATGCCGTTTCTCGTCCCGGTCCACCTGCTGCCCCGCCAGGTCCTCCAGCCACTGCACCACCCGCATGCACGCCTGCGCGCGCGCGTCTTGCAGGGCGTATTCACACGCCTCCTGCTGCGAGGTGGGCGGCAAAAGGCCCGCTGAGAGCATCTCCTGCAGCGGCTTGCCCAGCAGGTGCCACACGAGGCTCCAGGTGGCGGCCTCGGATTGGAGCACGCGGGACTTGTGCTCGAGGAGGTGGCGTTCGATGGACCTGACGAGAAGGGGGAGTCGGTTGGCTGGGGGATCTCAGGAAGACTTGGAAGAACCGTAGCATCCCTGAGTATGGCCTCTGAGTTGTTTCACTGAAGCTCGATCAATGATCACAATTACAGAAAGGAAAGAGAATTGAGGATGGACTTGGGGAGTGGAGGGGCAAATTGGAAAGGTCACAATAAGGAGGGGAAAGCTGTAGCGTTTGCCTAAATTCTAAACTGCATCCTCGGACCAGAAAACCTTTTGTTTCTGACCGGAAACCTTCCAAGCACTTTGAATCAGCCTACGTAGTGCGCTCAGGAGGCCGTTTCACTAAGCCCCACCAAACTCCCTATCACATATTTGCCACATCGAGTGACCTGGAATGAGCACCCCCACCTTGTTTGCGCAGCCGCCATCTCCCCCCTCCGGTCCGCCAGGTCCTGTGCCAGGTCGTGCAGTCCCCCCAGGACGCTTGCAAACTCTGCATCGCCCCTCAGCGCAGGCCGAAGGAGCGCAGCATATGCCTCCGGCGCATTGTCGCTGCGCACTCTGTGCTTGGAGGCATTCCGACTGCTCTGGTGCTGCGCTCCGTCCCTGTGCCGGACGACCGCCACCTCAGAAGAGGTCTTCCGAGCAGTGCCTTGTTGGCTGGGGGCCTCTTTATGATCGTCTCCATGCCAGGGGGCGGCATTGCCTGGCGTTCGCTGCCCTCCGTCAGCTCCCCTCCAGCCTTCGAATGGCACTACAGAGTCCCCAGCCCGAAACTCCCTGGCCCGCTCAGGTTCCGGAGACACAGACATGTCCTCCTCTCCCCCTGAACCGATCAAAGCGCCGAAGCCAGTGCTCTTGCGCCCCCGGCGGCCAGCCCGGCGAAGCTCCGGTCGCTCGGTGATTGCGGAGGGGGAGTACTGGTGCCCGTCCTCAGAGAGCAAGTCATCCTCCGGCTCAGTCTGAACGGGTGTTGGGAAGGAGAAGAGGGGAGCGGCGGGGGAGGGCTCGGAGGGGCGGCTTCTTGCCCTGAAGAAGGGGCCCCGTCCTGGGGTGGCTTCGCTCTCAAGTTCCATCTGAGAGGTCAAAAGAATTTCTTTGGACGATCCTGTAAGTGAAAGTTCAATGTGTCCGATGCCATCAGTGTAATGTAATTGAATGACTCTGAGTTTGACTTCTTCCAATGCAAGGGTGATCAAAGTCCCTGGGTGCACCGCCATGTAGTGAAAAGCTCTTAGAGGAACCCCAACAGTACATTGCGGCCTTGCCGTGCATGAGGAAGCGTGTTTGAGATCTGGCCTGAGCTTACATTCACCAGGCACAACATTGGAATCATCTGAAGTCGTGGCCCAATCGGTGACTGAAATTCGCATTGGTTACAATAACGTGAGCCTATGTATGCATAACTGTGCAGAAACAAAAGCACAGGCCCAAGCACCACCACTCAAACTTCCAGACAACATGTTAGCGGGTGAAACGTAACCAAACTCTTCCAATTGCAAACAAGACGAGTAAAAGGAGGGACCTCCTTCCTTTGCAAAGCGCTGACACCAAGCAAAGCTGGCATTGCAACTCACCTATAGATGGCGCCAAGGTTGCCGGGATTGGCGCTAACTATCTCCACAACCTCGTCAACTTATCACGAACTGCCACCACCCCCATGGATATCACAAATGCGTGGGGCATGTGATATGCTATGCTATGTGAAGCGGCCTGTTCATTTGTAAAAATGAAACACTCAACCTAAAGCTGTACAACAACATAGCAACATTGTGAAGGCGCTTGTGTTGAAGCTTTGCAACGAAGATCTCGTTGGAATGAACGCCCATGCATCAGCCTCTTGAATTTGAAGAGCGGGGGTGAAAGGAGGAGGTTTAGAGACTCGAACCGTACGTCTGGTCAAGCTCAGCCAGCGCTCTCGTCGTTGTGCTCTCTATAAGATTTCCCCCTGGGCTGAGTCGATTCGAACTCGAAGAAACGCGGAACCTTTTGCTGGGTTACGTAAAACATGGTCGCCAGCCTGTCCAATGCTGTCCAAGCGGTGACTCTACGGCCAGCTGCTCATGAGTCATTGCTCATGAAGTTGTTGCTCGCTGCATTGCTCCAGAAGATCCATCTACCGTACCGGCAAGGGAATTCAACTTTTATTATTTATTTTGGGGTCAGTGCGAAAAAAATAAAATTAAAGGTCACCCCGACTGTGAAAAGGTGAAACCAACATTTTCTGGAATCTATATCATTTTGGGGTGTTTTGATCGTGGAAAAAGCAAAAAACCTGCTTGTGTGAAATGAAAAATATAAACTCAACGCGCCCGGTGAAACCTCAAGATGAACGAAATTAAGTTTTCACACAAAAAGGTGGTGAATTCCCTTGCCGGTACGGTACCTATGGCTGCGCGGTCCATCATGCTTTGCTGGTAGAAGCAAAGGACACAGAGGAACCAGCATTTGGCAGGACTATAGTCCGTTGCTGCCCCAATTCTTGTTGCAGCGATCGCTTTGTGCAATGACGCATACGCTGCAACCGTGTTGCCTTGAAGTTGAAGCTGCATGAGATCAGTATTACTATAGCCTTAGGGTAATAAAGCAGCTTGGGTGAAGAAGGGACAGTGAATTTGGTGTGTTGTAAGCATTGCTCGGAGGCTGGAACATTGAGTGGCTATCTGCATTTGTAATCTGCGATGGACGCATAAGCGAGAGCAACAATCTAGGCAAGTCCAGTCCCGTAGGAATGTGAGGACTTGCAATGCAGAATCTACGTTGGGCAAACGCTTTAGGTTCCCAACCAAGCGGCAGATTCACCTTCCGAAATTTTGCTAATCTTCAGCCAAGCAGGAGCACTGTCTGAGGATGAGGAGGTTCCCCTTTTGAGTTCCTTTGAAGATTGCTCGTATAGGGGAGCAGCCACTAATAGAGGATTGCTGTCAACGACTGCGGAAGCCCCACTAGACGTTGCATTGACCACTTTACCTTGTGTAATCTGGGGAAGAGCTGACTGCCAGGATGCCTCTACTTAAGCTGAGGCTGAAGGAGGAGCAGGCACTTGCCTTGCCGGATATATACCGTCAGGCTCCGAAGGATGATCCCCGGGCGCTATTGGAAGCAGCCAACTTTGCGGACCTCGTGGGAGTTGTGCGGCAGCTGGGGGAGCTGTCCGAGTGAGTGTCTGAATGTTGGTCCCAACTAGTTGCTTGGTTTCTATGTTCAGATCTGGACGTGACTCCACGCTGCACATGGAGGTCCTTTGGTCTTTGGAGACGGCTGCAGAAATACACTTTTTGGTGATGTTTTGTCTTGCGCTTGTACAGCCAGTTTCCCTCTCGTCTGGCTTCCGCTGAAAGAGTATGGTTCTACGGGGTTCCCTTGAGTTTCTGTTGTTAAAATGCAAACTCAATGGGCTGCTAACTTGTCAATTGATGCACACTCTGCGTTGTTCGTAAATGAATGCAGCACGCGAGGGTCACTTTTACCCACACTTTGTTTCAGCCCTTGTCCTAATGACATGAATTGCATGTATCTGCACCCGATTGCATGGCGCCATCCTTCCTCACCTTAACACTTTTTACCTCATGCCAACAAACACATCTTTGCCACTGCATTGGAAGTGGTGAGTACCCTTTCTTTTGCCCAAACATTAACCCTTTGTTTCCCCTTTTTTGCAGCTATGCCGCCGTCATGTTCTCCCAGCTCCATGCTGAAACGTCTCGACTCGGGGCACGCGGTGAGGCCATGGCGGCGCGCGCGAGTGCGCTAGAGGAGAGCATGCCGGAGGCGGAGATCCGCGTCTTCACTGCGCAGGACACACGGCAGCTACTTCCAAATGACGGTAAGAAAGCACACGTAGCCACCAGTAGAAGTTTGACAGACTCCTGGATAAAGGAGCCGCTGAGAGGGAAAAGCCGCAAACAAGTCAAGAGATGGATACCTGAGTTAAGTGTTTGATACGGTGTGCTTCTTCTTGGGGCGAAGCAAGGTCATGCTTACATCGAGTGGGCAAACAAGTAAACGGAAGATGGCTGGGTGCTTGGAGCGGGTCTGAGAGCGGAAAAAACTGCAATGTAGGCAATGGAAGAAAAGAGTGCATTGAGACGGTCAATCTGCTCTAGGACGCACGCATGTTAAACATCCTCTTTGAGACACAGACACAATTGGTCTGTTGCATCTGTTCAAGATTCATTTACAGCTATCAGGGCCAGGATGAGAAGCGGAACTGGTACAATTGTTGACCATTCTCTGTCTCTTGCATTCTTCATAAACATCCATCTGGCTGGCATAACCATTGCGTCTTGTTCAGTAGGTTCAAGATTCAAACACCAGCAGACCACGATGCAAGCCATAAACCAGCCAAGGAGTCCACTTAGCTTTGCTTAGCGGCTGTTGTATTCTACCTTGACATGCATGGTACGTATAGTGAACCTTTTAGCACCCTTTATCCAAGGTGTTCGTCGGACTAACCCATCAACCCTCTACCTGTCTTTCCTTCAGGGCTCAAGTGGCACTCCAGCCCCCATGAGGACCAAACCCTGTTCACATCCTCAGAGCTTCCCCCTTACATCAGCGAAGCATATATGAAAGCGCAGCCCCCCCCACCGCTCCACATGCTGGACCGCTTTGACCGGACGGCCTCGGACGGCGGTGCCCTGCGGCGCTATTCGGACCCGTACTTCTTCAAGCGGGAGTGGGCGCTGGCCGAGCTGGCGCAGGCAGAGCGGGAGAAGAAGGCCATGAAAGCGAGGGTGAGGCAGGAATATGATAATATGAGGATCCGCAGGAGCCTGTCTTTCTTCAGAAGACCTGTATGACACTCATATCCGCGGGAACGAACACTGTTCAGAAAAGGCTATGATTTCGTAGTGTCTCCAAAGGCTGGTCGTTTATGGCTTGAAGTAATAGCATCAGGCACCTCCAAGCAGGTTTTGGGCTTAATTGAATTGGGGCAGTGACCGCACTACGGGGTGGGCATTTGCCAAGGGGCATCCGTCATGGCCCAAATCGATTCCAGTGTGTTTCGACTGCTGGGATGCAAGTAGGTGCCTTCAATAGATAGACCACAATTAAGAAGTGCAAAGCATCCAACGATAACCCTTCACAATGCGTGAAAGACCCCTCAAGTTTGCACTTACAAGAAGCAATAACCTTGGGTGAAACTGATGACCGCCTCATAATGCGCCAGAAGCATTGCTTGACTGGCTGTAGCGCTCGCAAAAATGAAGATTGGAGTGTGCAAGTCGGTTTTCCTATCTGCTTCTCTTTCTTATGCCTGCACCGTTTTGTGTGCAGCGAAAGGCAAAGCACCTAGGGCAGCAGCGCAGCTTACGAGACCTGAACGAGGGGGCTTACGTCCGGCAGGCATCCCGGTGAGGACCCACTCCTAAACCGTGCTTCTGGGGTACCAGAAACCGCCTTCTAACAGAATTGCCGGACAGGAACTTTTTCGGGGCTGGGTTTGTAAGGTCACACGCTCAGGACAAGCCATGTACCATACGTGTCTCCATCTTCCATGTTGGTTGACTTTAAGCACCCTTCTCTTAAAGTCTGCCTCTGCTGGGAGTTTTCGTGGCGTACATCTCTCACTTGCACCGCAGAGTCGTCCACTTGTTACGTCAGAACTCCCAGCCGAACGTCACGTCTCTAAATCGATTGGCAACCACAACGCAGCGCTTTCGATAACACTCGTATGCTGTGAAAAGTCATCTGCCTCAGCAAGACAGTTCTCAGCGGGATCTCAGCGGCCAGTGAAAAGTGCCCTCGTGCGTCCTTCGACCCCCCCGTTCCTTTGCCTGCAGGTCACGCCGCAACTCTCGCTCCAACTCACAAAAGGCAGCTGCGACCCCCCCACCGCAGCGCCCCGCCCCTGCGGAGCTGCCAGAGCAGCCGCAGCGCTACTCTGTTTATGTGCCGGACGAGCCCAAAACCCCGGACTCCCAGCGGTACTCGGTCTATGTCCCCGGTGACTCAAAAACCCGGTCCGAGGGGGATCCCCCGACTCCGGCATCGCAGGGGACCATCTCCCCTTATGTAGAAAGCAGCTTCGCGTCCCTCGGAGACGCTTCGAGAAGCGTGCCGCAGGTGCCTCATTTTAAGAACGCTGAGAGGGAGCTGAAAGCGCCGGCAAATGGGTTGAGAACGGGGGTCGCGCAGGACGAGATCGTTGCCATTGGGAAAGTCAACGAAGTTGCGAAAACGGCTGGGTACTTGGTTGAAGCCAATGGCGAGAGCTCTGGCCGTGAAGCGGAACAAGATGCTCAGGAGCCGCGTCGGGAAAGAACGGCTTCTCGGGATGTAGCAGAAGATTCGCCAGCCGCTAAGAATGTTCCAGAGCCTGACAAAGTGCATCGAGAAGGAGAGAGCGCTCTCTTCGACCAGCGGACCGGCCCGGACGAGGCCGTAACATCCAACGGCAGAACCGCCTCGCAAACGCAGGCCATCCCCCGAGCGCGACGAAGGAGCACCAAGGCGAGACGGGAGACGCCGCGAAAGAGCGACGGGGAGACGGAAAATGCTTTCCCCCGGGCGGAATCGTTCGACTCGGTGACGCAGGCTGCAAGGGTGCGTGAGCAGATCCGAAGAGAAGCCGAAGGAGCGCTTGCGAATGAAAGAAGCGAAACAAGGGGCGCGGCAGGATTAGTGGACGAGCGAGGGGGAGTTGAGGCGAGCGTTGCGGAGGCGTCTGTCGGGAAGCTCTCGGACTTGGAGGCGGAATGGGTTGCAAGCGCATGCGACGGAGAGGGGCGGCCGCAAGAAGAGTCCGGTAAGGTTGCACAGGAGGAGCCTTCCGGGGTGGGCGAAAGATCTCCAGCAGATCATGCGGACGTCATCAGAGGTGTCAGCAAAGACGTCAGCGAGGAACAAGTTGCACCAGCGGCGAAGCACAAAGAGGAGAACGGGCGTCTCGCAGCCTGGGCGTCGGTCCCGGGGAGTCCTGTAGTGGGGGAGGACTCCGCACCGGGGAGCCCGATGAACCCCGGGCTCGTGAAACTGCAACAAGAGTATCAGCAGGCGCAAGCGCGGCTCGAGGCGCTGCTGCGGATGCAGAAAGAACTAGAGGAGCAGGCGCACCCCCCCGAAACGGGAGCAGCCGTGGCGCTCGGCACGGTGTCGTCGGCTACGTCCCTGGCCGTCGAGCTCTCGCGCAGCTCCGGGGGGGCAGGCCCGGCGGACGACAGCCCCCCCGAAACGGTGGACATCGATAGCCCCCCCTGGTCGCAGGCGTCCTCTCCCCCGCTCCACGAACCTGGCCAGTTGCGGCGATTCATGGACTCCCCCGCGCGACCGATCAGGCATTCGCGCAGCGTTCTCGATTCCCCAGGGCCGGCATTTGCCCCGTCGGGGCGGGGAGCGTTGAGGATGGGCTCGTCGAGCCGCCTGTCTCCCCCCCGCGAGCTGTCGCCGGGAGGGTTCTCCTCCCCCCCCTTCTCGTCGCCTGAGCGCTCGTCCCCCCTGCGACGGCCGTGGGTGATGCAGACACCCCCCCGACCCGAGACCGAGGACGAGTACCGGCCGAGCGGGCTGTCTACACAAACGTCCCTTCCAAAAGACCGTTCTACAAATGGGGGGGGAGCGGCCGAGCCTCGTGGGCTGGCAGGACCCGTCCCCCCGACAGCAAAATCCGCCCCCAAACCTCCCCCACCTCCGCCCCCCGGAAGTCTGGGGGCGTTCAAGAAGCCCTCTCAGTCTGCGCCCCCACCTCCGCCCCCTCCTCTGGCCCCTGGTGCGCTTACCATCACGGGGCCGTCTTCGTCTCGGGGGGGTGCTGCCAGGCCGGTCGATTTGATGCAAGCCATTGCGCAGCACGACAAGGGCAAGCTGAAACGGGTGGACGAGCGGAGTGGGGGCGTTGCTGCGCCGACTGGGGACCGGAACGTGATGCTGGAACAGATCAAGAAGGGGGTGAGGAAGCGGATCGTATCTGATGGTCGGACCAATTTCTTGTACGTCAGCAGCCTGTCTCCGATAGGGGTTCGCTGCCGGGAGAACGTTAATCGCAGCTTCGGAATCGCATCGGAAGCTAGGCACACCAAGTTTGCCATTGAGGCGCCCCAAGTGCAAGAGACGTTTCCATTCTTAAGGCATCACAGAATCTCAGTAAGAGCGTTTGAACTAGGTTGCTGCTCGTATTTGGCCCACAGTGTCTTCGTGGCTCTTTCATGAACGCTGATGTCGGTGACTAGGAAAGTGGATCAAATGAGGAACACGTCCTGATTGTCGTACAGTTTGAGATCATTGACCAGTAAAGAGTGCCGTGTTCTTTTTGAGTGTGGGCACCGCATTTTGGCTGGCCACCTCGAGACTCAACGTTTGTCTTCTGCTGGACGAAGTCTTCAGAAGGATCTCCCCCGAATTAGTGGACCCTAGACGTAATGCTAACGAGACTTTAAGCAATTCGGCAAACGGTGTCTTATCTTTTGTCCCTCTTGCTTCAGGTCAACTTGCGGCGCACGGAAACCGTGAAGGCGGAGGAGAAGCCCAGCCGGCCCGTCACCGACATCAATGTCGCTTCGATTCTGGAACGTGCAAACGCCATCCGGCAGGTACGTGACCGTCTTGTTTTTGATTTTCGCGTCCGCTTGTGCCCGGTTGCGCTTTTGACCGCCTTTCAGCTAACACCGGGCTTGCTGGCTCCGCCAAGAAACGTTGTGCATGAGACTTCTGCCGGAACTATTAAGGATGTTTGTTGTATGAGCGCTTGACCTGAGTTGCAATCACTGCTCAACACCGTCAAGAATAGGGATGTCAAGGCTTGACTCGAGTCTAATTTGATCTGAGGTAAGGAGTCGCCTTGACAATCTTAATAGAAGTATCTTATCAGCAGCTCTTGCTTGGAAAGGCATTCTTGCGGTCCGGTTTCGTTGTTGACGTATTGGGCAAGCATGACGTTCGCAAGCATGACATATGCAGGCCATGCAAGACAGCGACGACGATGAGGAAGACGAGGACGAGGAGGACGATTGGCTGGATTGACCAGAGCCCCGTTCCGGGCAAAATCAATTCCGCAACCGGATTCCAATTGCAAACGGAACGTCCACACGCCTCTCCGAACTTGCTGATTCCCCAAACAAGACCGTTTTGCGTGACGGAGTGGGTCTGACAGCATCGTTCGATCATTTCCCATTAGTTGAGGAAGTCGGCTCCTAAATGGCGCCTGATAATCTGGGCGCTACTCTAATCATTTCCCGACTGACGCAAACTGACCGGACAATGTCTTTTCTGGGGTGCTTGTAGATGTCAATTGTCTGATTAGAGCTTAGAAGCAAGCGTAGGAGGAGCTCAGCGTTCAACCGAGTTCGACAACATAATTTGAAGTCATCTTGCATATTTGTCTTTGTAAGTAACATCGACTGGCTTGATCACCGTCAGTACTGCGTTATGATTTCATTGCAAGCTATTGTGATGCTGAGCACATAAACGTTTCCAATATATCCAAAGTCCACATCGGTCTCGCACACCCCGAAGACCCTCGACAATGCACTGACCGGCGCCTAGCATGCATCAATTGCCAATTCCAGCTCGATTCAAAGTAGGGTATGGGCACTAGAGCTCCGACTAGCTACGACATTGTAGCTACTGTAGATCGACGCGGTAATCTATACGCTTCAACTTAACAAGACGCCCGTCATTATATGTTATACTGTAAAGATGATTCTACCCATCCGCGAGCGCAAAAACGTGGAAGGGTAACATGCCAGTGCCCGTAATTCTGCGAAGTACGCATGCTCCCGACCATGGTTGAAGGCCGGTCGGATTACGCAAAACCCAATGATTCATGCGCAAGCTTTCAATTGTTGTATATAATTGGCGCCAGGCCTGCCAGCTAAAGGTTTACTGTTATCATTTCAATGATTACCGTATGGTGTTAGAGGATCTCTGTTGCATATGATCGCGCAGCTGATTGTATGAGACTCTGCAATTGCTAGCTCGGGCACAGAAGCGCAACTTCATGTCATCATTGCAACCGTTAGTATGCGAAAAACGCCTCAATTGAGACTCGATGGCGAGTTGACTCAGCATACTTGCATGAGATTGGAATAGACGTCCTCGATCACTGATACCTCTTGGATACACACTCATACTTCATGCCATGACAATGACTGAAGAGCCTATGGCCCATTAGTAGCTGCGACATGAGAACAACCAAGGGGGCAAGTTACTAGTGCCTTTACTGCATCGGCACTCTATAAATGGTCCGACATGTCGATCCGAGCCATTGAGAATGCACGTCTTTAAATCAGTCTACTTGTTGCAAAAAGCCTACTAACGACGCTGAAAATCTGGATTTGTCATCCCTCTTCCCCTTGTAGAACCTTAATGTTCTCAATTGCTTGAAATTACGTTGAATCTGTCCAATATTGATTTCAACGGAATTATCTTTGCATAGCAAGTCTAGTTCCTTTAATCTAGGTGCTACATCCATAAACGTAGGCAAGCTGGCAACGTTTATATGCAACTCCGACAAGTGCTCCAACCGGCCTTCCAAGCGCAAGTCCACAGAGGGACTGCCTTCAAAGCTGTTGAAAGTGAGGGCTCGTAAGGCAGGACACTCTAGAACAAAGGTGTGCTTCTCGTCTGTCTCGTCCGTCATGACAAAACCACACCAAGTCAAATACTTCAAGGTGGTTGAATGAAGATGGTAGGTCCCCTCTGGCCAAAATCCCATCACTTCGAATTCCTCGAGGACGGGAAACCGCTTGGATAGGTTCGACACAGAACTTGCACTGCCCACGGTGCTGAGTAGAGTCAAGGATTTTAGATTCGGTAACTCGTCCATATCTCCGAGATAGCACCGAAGGTTTTCTTCCCCGTGGGTCATCCGCATGTCAACACTGATATCTAGAAATCTCAGTTTCTTACAGGATCGAAGAATAGGGCAGGCCACTCTTAGTCCCGGCATACTGTCATCTGGGGGCTTGATTGCGAGCTCAAAGTGCTCCAGAGTTGCCTTTGTAGAAATGACTGCCATCAAAAGCACTTCTTTCAAGTTGGTGATGGAGCCCGATATGTGAAGCGTCAATCGTTTACAAGTGACCATGTCGTTGACAAGAATGTAGTCCATGAACCTCTGGCCGTCACCGTCAGTCTCAAACTCCCAATTCAAGGAGACAGCCAGCCTTCTGAACCTCTTGCAAACAACCAGGAGACGAGTCCTGGTTTTTGCCCTGCTCAGTCTTGAGAGAATGTTCTCAACGAGCTCGTCCGGCAAGGAGGCAAAACGGTCTCCTTGAAGGGGCATTGCATTGCAGGCTGCCATCGCACTGGTTTAGGCACTATTCGAATGCTCTTGTTGAAAGCAGGCGCCTACTTCAGTCTCTAAAAGACTAAAAGGCCGCAGACAGAGCGAGATGAGGCGGGCTAGCTAACCCTCGTTTTCCTGTTCGAAGACGCCCTTGAATCTGATCCTGCATGATCGGATGCTGTGTCTGTGTGCGATTCTGAGCTGCAGCCTGCAACTTTCAGCTGTCAACCTTCTCAGCTTTCAAGCATCTTTCTGCTCGCTGACCCAATTTGGTTACCAACGGCGGTTTAACCCTCTCTAAGTATCAGCTCGGGCCTGCTAAGTAGACACCTGGGGTCAAGCAAACCTGGTCGGCGATCGGACTGGGGACGAACGCAATCTGGCTGCCAACAACTTGAAATTGAACTTGAAGTTGAAGTTGCCGGGTCAACGGTGCGCCAACATGAGCAGCTCAGCTGCATTGCGCCCACCTGCCGTTCGTCTACCATTCTTTCCAGGCACCAGGACACCAGCCTGCCACTTATCAAGCTCAGCATTGCAGATTCGCTGGCAAATTGTGCTCTGGCAGCAGCGTCACCTTCGCTCCCATAAAAGCCTCGGCGCTCGCTCAATGGCGGCCGCTCCCAGCAATGATGCGACACCTGGCACCCTGCATGCAGGGGGGAAGACAGCTGTCGTCTGCGGCGCGGGTGCAATCGGCGCGGCGACCGCCTACTTTCTCAGCAAGAAGGGAATTGACGTGACCGTTGTGGAGAAGAGCGGGGTCGCGTGTGCTTCGTCCGGAAAAGCTGGCGGGTTTCTGGCGCTGGACTGGTGCGACTCGAGCCCCGTCGGCCCGTTGGCACGGGCGAGCTTCAAGCTGCACGAGCAATTAGCACAGGAACTAGGGCAAGACTATGGCTACCGAAGAGTGGACACTCTCAGCCTGACGGTGCAAGAGTCTGCGGCGATCAAGCGGGCAACGAAGGGAGCGCCGGGGCTGCCTGCGTGGGTCGACGGGCCGGTAAAAGGCGCTGCGGCGATAGGGGGAAAGCCCACGACTGGCCAAGTGCATCCAAAGCTTTTCACACAGGCGCTGGTTGACGCAGCAAGAACTCGGTATGGAGCAAAGCTGCGAATTGGGGCGGTCGAGGCGATTGAGCTGTCGGAAGCGCCGAGCGGGGGGAGGAAGGTGTCGCACGTGCTTGTGGACGGTGAACTGGTGGAGACGGACGCGGCTGTAATTGCGATGGGGCCGTGGTCCGGCAGAATGAGCGTCATTTCGGAGCTGAGTCCGATCACGGGCCTGAAAGCGCACAGCATCGTGCTGAAGCCCCCGCACCCCGAGAAGATCTCCGCCACGTGTCTCTTCCTGAACTACCGGACGAGAAGCGGTCAGTCACTGGAGCCCGAAGTGTACCCCCGGCCGACGGGGGAGGTGTACGTATGCGGCGTTTCGGAGGAGGGGCTGAGCATCCCAGACGACCCGGAGCAGGTCTTGCCCAGGAAAGGGGCGCCCGACATCCTGAAAACGGTCGCAGCGACGGTGAGCAGCGAGCTGGCGGACGCGGAAGTGACGGCAGAGCAGGCTTGCTTTCTGCCCATGTCAGAGGACGGCGTTCCGTTGATCGGGCAGGTTCCGGGCGTCGAGGGCTTGTATGTGGCGACGGGGCACAGCTGTTGGGGCATCCTGAACGCGCCGGCAACCGGAGCGGCGCTGGCCGAGCTGATGGTCGACGGGAAGTCCAGTCTGGTGGACCTGCGGCCGTTCGACCCGCGGAGGTTTGCCGTTCGGAGCAAAGCGTTCTCCAGGTAGTCCAACGTGTACAGGCCTTCATAAAGCTTTTTGCGTGACTAATAGATGGAACTTCCAAGGGATGGAACTTCCAAGGGATTAGTTGCGGTTTCTGTGATTCTATCTGATTTGCACCGAAGCCTTCGAAAAACGCATTGGCTGTACAATAGAGTCTGAGCAAGCTAGACTTTCTGGTCTTGCGAAGGCCTTGATTAGGATTCTAATAGTGGCAAGAGGTGTAACCCACTCAGTAGGTGGCCAGTTCCTTGCCCACCCTGTATACTGACTACCATCGACCAACGCAGTTTCTACGCCCATGCTATGAAGCATAGAGCCCACCTGTTCCTGCTCGGCAAATACGAAGTGCTTTTGCCTGGTTTGGAGCCGCAATTTGACATTATTTTGACCGTCTAGAAGTAGCCAAGTGTACATACACAAAGATTGAATTAGGGGAATTGCCACGCACTTCAGTAACTATTCTTTCCGCGCACATTTTGGTGGTGCATCGGCTTGAGATCAGCGTTTGAAACGTAGACTCAACATGATAAAAGCCACTTACATGAGTCGCTTTTAGAACTTGCTATAACATGGCATCTTAATGACACCGACCCCAGTACGCGTACGACATCTATGTCAGCGTGGCCCATCATCCGAGCTCAATCGACCACGAGTCCGCGTCGGTAACCTGGACGGTTGCATTCGATTCGATGTACTCAGATCAAGCTTATGTTCCTGCCGCCCACTGAGCTAGTGCAACAGCTCTTGTACATACTCGATCATATGCAGCGGTCGTGCATGCTCGATCGTATATATATGCATCACCAATCAATACGTATGGGTTGCAAACTCGAAAGTAAATATTGTGTCTGCATTCGGATGTAACATGAGTCTCGCGCCCAAAATGAATGATCATGACATGGCCCTTATGTAACACTCATACGGCGCGCACTAACTACGTTCCTGATTAGGCGCTGCATGACTTGAGTTCAATAATCGGTTCACTTGCAATTTCACATGGTCGGGGAACCTACGTGCTCTGAAACCTTAGATGCCTGGCTCATACCGTGGAAGTACACATCCCAAGTCATACGTGAAGCTGGCATGCATGTAGGCACACATGTAAAATCCTTCTGTTGCTTCGAGTTTGCGGGATGCAAAGGATGCGACATCAATGCCTTCTATGGACACCTTCGAGTCGTTCAGGAATTTCGTACGGGGTTCGTTTTGACTGAACCGCAAAAGATAACAACTTGTGGACTGTCCTAGCAGGCTGCTGCATCTACAACTCAACGCCCAGCGCCTGAACTTTACCAACAGGCAAGAGGTTTTCCTTTGGAAAGATTCATCCGCAGAGGGCCGGCCGGAGGAACGGCTCTGGCAGGGGTCGGTGCATTAGCACCCCGCAAAAGCCGCACAAGGGCTGCCGCCCAGAATCGAACGGGGCGTCCGTGCGGATCCTGCGGCAGCAAGAGCACTGCCAGCTGGCAAGCGAGGATTGGATGAGCATCGTGACCATGCAGCGCTTAAACTTATGGCCCTTGACACCAGGTCTGGTGCTTGTGCCCGGTACACCAGCCTGGGAGCAGCGCGCGGTGTCGGGGGAGTCGAGAAGGACCGGGGACGAGCAGAAGGGACAGACCTCCCGGGCAACGGAGGCTTCTTCGAGAGAGGGGAGCCTGTCCATCGAAGTGCAAAATGCAATCAGAGCTCTGAACACGTGCCGTGCTGTAGAAGGTCGCAATAGCACCGCCCCAAAACGGTCTGTGTGCACTCCCAAAAGCAGGGCGCACTTACCATCTTGGAATACAGAAAGCTTTAAGCCGTCACTTATCATTAGAGTAGACCTACCCTTTCGCAATCAACGCCGCACCTTGTACACTTAACCAAGCGAAGAGACTCACCATAAAGGAGACCCGAGACTCGTCAGCAAAACAATGAATCCCCCTCTCAACTCACCTAATTCCGCATACGATGTAAAAGTCATCGGCCAGCTTCTGCAGCCGGGGCCCCGCTGGTGCCCCCTTGGCCCGCGCCCAGTCCGCCCACAGGAACGCCGAAGTGACCGTCGTCCCCGTTACAGGGCCCGAGCTCTCTTTCAAGCGCGCCAGCAGCGACTCCGCAAGCCGCATTCGCAATTCCGTTTCCGTTTGCCGTAGCTCTGCCTGCCAGGCATTTCCTCCCGGGTGATTTGCTGCCAGTTGGCGGTTAAGTTCCTGATGAAGCAAACCCACGCTTTGAGTGTCGCCTCGGGTAGTGCTCGGTTCAACATGGTTTGCGGTACCGGCTCCGCCCGAAGGCTCCGGTCGGAGGGCCCTGTCTTCGTCGCCGTGCTTCGAATCAAGGGTAGCACCCAGCTTCAGCAGGAGCACGTTTAACACCTGCAAGGCCCGTCTCGCCGTCCCTTCGGCTTCTAGACTGAACCCCTCGACACCGTTCCCCACAACCGACGCCGCATTCTCATCCTGCAACCGTATGGCAGCTTCCCCTTCTTGATTCTGTGACAGTCCATCCTCTGCACCAGCTAGGTTTTCACCGTGCCGCAGGTCCTTTTTCTGAAGCTCCGGTTCCGGTTCCCGGGTCTCAACTGCTCCATTCTCCGTCTCCCTCTGCCGAGCACTCCCCGCGTCCTTCCTCAAACCGGTCCCCGCCTCCCGAGCACTTTGCAGCCCTCCGCTCGAGCTCGTTCCGCGCCCCGGTTCTTTCCCCCGGGCTGCTTTTCTCACAACGGCTAGCACTTGCCGCAGCGCATCGACGCCAACCTCTTTCAAAGCAGCCATAACGTCCCACAGCACCACCGGCCCCCCCGACCTCAGGATCCTTTCCACCGACCGAACCACCTCGCTCGTCAGCTTCTCCGCAGCGCTCCGCCTCCGTTCATCCTCCGCCTGGGAGTCTTCCCCGACCGCTTTCCCCCTCCCAAGCGCTTCGTCTTCTTCGCCTTCTTTCCCCTTCGCTTTGCTGGACTCCCCAGGCTGGTCCGTACTGTCAGCAGGTGTCAGAAACTCGTCGAGCCAGTCTCTTTTCTCCAGGGGCTTTTCCCGGCCAGCCGCAAGCGCCTGGATCGCCGCCTCCGCGGTCGCGCTCAGCTTCCCCCGAGGCCGCTTCCCGAGCCCGGGTTTGATACCACCCCGTCCACATAACGACAGCTGCAAGGCTCCCCGCATGGCCTTGGTTTGATACATGGTGTCAAGCGCCCCGAGCGCAAGCGTTCGCACGCCGGCAATTGCTAGCCCGTTCGGAGACAGAGCCAGGCCGGTGTAACCACGCATGAGTCCGGGGGTGGGAACCGACAATCCGAACTGCCGGTCGCCGGCCGCCAGCTCCAGAGTGACCGGGAGGAGGGAATTCACACCGTCGAGCTGCCACCGCTGCAGGCCGCCCTCCTGGCTGCATGTGCATACCTCCTCCCCGCCTGCAGCCCAGCCGAGCCCCATCAGGGGCTGCCCAGAAGGCCTTGCTGACGTCACTTTCGGCGTCAGGCCACCCTGGGAAACGCTACCCCTGGTCGGGACAGGGCCCTGCCAGATCAGAAGCTCCCCTGCCCCCCGCGCGGCCGCCACTCTGATGACGTCAGCATCGACGCGCAGGCTGAGGCTGCTGACGACCTCCCCGCTGGGCGCGCACACCTGGCCTGCCGGCTGGATGACAGGTGGCGCGCCCCCGCTGGCTGACTCGTACATCGCTACGGACCACAGCCGCACGCTGCCATCCGAGCTGCCGGTGCCAAGTATCAGAAGGCCCTGTGAATCCAACCCCTGCTCACTTTCCTCACTTTCCAGAGCGCCTTCGCCCATCCCAACAGGGCCTTGCCGGTACGCCCACCCAAGCGCTGAGACCCACGAGTCGTGCGGCAGCAAAGTGCCCAGAGATGCGACACTTGGCGCAGCCGCGTTGCTCGCGCCATACTCCAGCGGCTGGGCCACTTTCCAGAGCGCCACGTGTCCCGACATAGACCCAACGGCAAGGACTGTAAACGCGCCACCTGGCGTTCTCCCGCCATGACACTTGGGCGACCATGCCACTGTCAGTGCCGCCAAGAGGTCGCTCCGTGCGGCGAATGTTGCTGCCGGGATTACTTCGCTTCCAGGGGCGTGCTCGGTCTTGGCTTTGGCGAGACGCTTCGATTCCCCTTTACTTCCCTCGCGCTTCTTCTGGTACCTTTGCCTCGATTGCTCGCGGTTCCTCGCGATAGCAGCCTCTGACCTTCGCTTGCCCCCCTTCTTCTGCGCTGTCTTTGTCGCAAGGATGATGTCAGAGTCGCTGTCCGATTCGGGCTTGGACCGTGCTTGGAACTCCTCGTCCTCGTCAACTGGCGCTAGCTTCTTTCGTTTCCCTTTCCTTGAGGACTCCGCCTTCGGCTCGTCTTCCCTGCATCAGACATAAGGTATGAGTCAAGCTCTGTTAGGAAAACTTTCACTAAATGAGATTTTTCAGGTGCATACGTCAATTATCTGGTTCACGGTCGTGTGGATTATGCTCACGCAGATTTTCTTGCTTCGAGGGAACCCCATTCAGGCCGTCAGAATGGCCATTCCTCATCAGTAAAATGCTGCACATCAGCCGGCCATCGTTCTTGAGAGCCAAGCTTTCCATGTTTTACTCGCACTTGTTGGGATTGTTTTGACGCGATCGAAGTAAACTTGCTCGATCAAAACGAGCTAAGGGTATAAATAGAGCGCTAATATCAGCGCAACAGAAAACCCTGAACAAACGCGCATAATCAGCAGGAGCTGATCGAATCTTGATACGAGCATCTCTTGGTTCTTTAGACTACTCTTGACTGAGCATTTCACACCTTACTCCCTGAAAAGTCAGTCTGTTGTGTACACTACACGTAGTGATTTCAAGAAAAGTCAACCTCTCTCCTGATCGCAGGCATCCGTTGAAAACGCGGAGACTCGCAAACCTTCCCACTTGAGCAAGCTGGATTGCAGCAGCAAGAAAAGTTAACGAACATAGCTCTGCTCACAGATCGTCGTCGCCCCCAAGCGTTGCATAGTTGATCCGCTTCCTCTTTCTTGGTCCTAGCGCGGTCCCTTCGTTAACCATCGGTTCTTGCTTCACCTCAGGCTTCGGCTTCCTGGTGATGACCACTTTACGGCGGATGTGCTGGCGACCAAGCTTCACCAGCTCCTTCACGGTCAGCCTGGCGGCGTTAAGCTGGTCGCCCTCCTGCGCCACCATCTCAGCGAGCGCCTGGGAAAGAGGACGAAACTTCGTTTACAGCACAGCAAAACAAGTCCTATCAGAAAGTAAAGACGGGTCGTAGACTGGAAGCGACTTTGCCTGTAGGTTGATTTGAGGGTTTGTCTAACGGCTTCATATCGAATCATCCAGGAGTAAGGCCGATGGAAGGTCGTATCATATGTAATGATGTAACACGGCCGACGCAAGCGTAGTAGAGTTCGTCTTTCTGATCGGTCACTACAATTTCTTCAAGGAAGTTCAATTGTCTGAGAATCGAAAAGCCCCACTTTTGAAAATACCGGTTGAAGTAAAGAACGAACCACCGTAAACACAGAAGGGGACAGCAGGCAATCATGCAACGTTCATTCAAAACAAGCAGACCCCTCCGTTCTCCTGTCAGCGATACGTGGCGTGCCCACCTGCTCCAAGATCTCCTTGTCCCTGCCCTTGAGGTGCTCCCCCTCCTGATACTCCGGCAGCGCCTCCGCCGGCGCCCCCTCTCGCAAAACCCTAAACCTCTCGCACAGTACTCCGGCCAGTCTCTCGTGTTCGCGCACCAGCGCTGCCTTCTCCTCCCGCCCCAACGCCGCAAACCCGTACTCCTCTTCGTTCTCCACTTTCGGAAGCTTCAGTCCCCCGGTCGTGAGCGGCTCGGCGGCGGCAGCTTTCTTCCGCTGCCTAACCTTCTTTCCGCCGACCTTAACCCCTTTCTTCCTGGGCTCTGCGGGGGCGTCCTCCAGAAGTTCCTCCTTAACCTTCTTCGTAACCCTCCTTCGGGCCGCGGGTTTGGTGGCCTCCTCCGAAACCGTCGACGCGAGGGGCGCCCAGCCGCGCCCCAAACCCCTAAACCCCCACGCTAACCGCAGCCTCCCCAGCTCGAAAATCTGCACGTTTCCGTCACCCGGAAAATACACGCTCGCCGGCCCCCCGGGCTTGCAACCAACCACTAACCCCTCCCACCACGCGTCATCGATAAAGACCTCCACGTAATCGCCTGCGGCGTAAGCCTGACCGGCCTTATCAACCCGTGAGGTCTCTGGCCGGATCCTCGGTCGAGTTTGCGATTTAGATGTGCCAGTCTGCTCCGCTGGGGCTGTCTCTGCGGTGTCGTCCTTCTTCTTTCGGCGTTGGGTGACCTTCACCCGCTTGCCTCCCTTCCGCTTCCCAGCAGCCTGCAAGAATCCCATCATATCAGATGCCGAAACAGGAGTCCTTGTCTTAAAGTTCGACTCTTTAACAGCCACCTGAACACGTCTCCATTTGCCCTTTGCTTTCAGCACCTATTCAGTGTATCGCAGGCTAGTGCTCGGTGAGACCAGAGTGCAATACTTGCAATCTTGAGTAAGTCATCTGAAGACGTGCAAAAGCTATGGACCACACATCCCACGAGCATTCACTGACGCAGCCGTCCAAGTCAACAAGATTGACCACAACCATAACAATCCATGTACTCGCAACTGAAAACTGCCCTTGCCAGCCTGCCCCACCGCCAAGATAGACCTTCAATACTTCAGACCCCACGTTTTCCTCAATCATCCAAATAGCACCACACCCTGCCAGCCTCCCTACATTTGCGGTGCACTTCCTCGGAGCCAGAATCGCACGGACTCCAACGAGCTGCCAGACAAGCAAAACCCGTTCAAAACTTGGGCCCGAGTCCAGCCCCGTCATATTTAGCCTTACCTTCGCTGCCAGCCCCCCGACTCCGACCGTAGCTACCGGCTGCAGCGGAATCCATTCCCGGAGCTTCTCCCCGGTCTCCTCATTCTCCAGCAGCTCATCGTACTCGACTTGCGCTTTCTTGCGTGCGCCCAGGCTCACCACCATCCCCGCAAACCACGCCCCCGCTAACCCTTCCTCGGTTTGCAAAACCTCCACTCGGGTGCCAACTCCCACCGCGTCCGTTGATAAAACGGGGCCCGATACTGATCCCAGTTGCCAGGTAGGGGGAGAAGGCTCAGATGAGGTGTTCGCCACGTCGGGCAGCTGGTCGGGGGATCCCCCCGGACCACCGGCGTCCTGACCCGTTTTCGAAAGGGTTTCAAGTGCCGTGTCTGCGCTCGTACCGCTTCTTCCCCGATCTTCTGCGGTCCCTGCATCCAGCGGTTCTCGAAGGGGCGCTCCGCCGCCCCCTGCTTCCACAGCATCCTTATCCCCTCCCCGATCCGCTTCTTTGGTTACCCCCCCTTTCTCCGACCTGCCACCTTTCTCCGAACTGCCAGCCTCTCCTAACACCGGCTCTCGTTCCACAGTTGGCGCCCCCTCGGGTTTACCCCAAACCGCAGACCCCTGAGCCCTTTCTGAGTCCGCCGCTCCTTCTTGCTCAGTGGGACGCCCTCCCTGCTTCTTTCTTCCCCCCCTCTTGTCAACTGCGGCGACCACTGTAGCGTCCACCCCCCGTGACTCATCACCGCTGTTCTCCCCTTGGCTCCGCTCTTTCACCCCTTCCACCTTCTGCCTTGTCGACCTTCGTCTCGTCGCCCGGGGACTGGCATCGCCTGTGGATTCCATTTCCCTCGTGCGCTTCCTGCCCCTCCTCCCGCGAGTCTTGTCAGGCTCATCATTCGACTCCACCAGTCCGGCGGCGCGCTCGTTCCCACTTTGCTCTGCGCGCCTTGCTTTTCCCGCCTTCTTCAGCGCATTCGCCTCCTCCTTTGCGCTGGCTGACGGCTTTTCCATCGACTCCCCAGGCCCATCGGCCTCGCGACCCTTTGCACCCCCTTCTAGTTCCCCCAGCCCCCCCGTTTTGCCTGTCTCCGCCCCCATCAACATGTCCGTCAACCTGACCCCGTCCAGAAACTTCTCCCCGAAAAGCAGATCCTCCGTCTCACGATCGCCCGACCCCGGCGCCCCTGTCCCTCCCTGCGACCTCAGCTTCTCCGTTTTCTGCCCCTCCAACGCATCGATGGGACCGTCCGATGCATGCGCTTCGTCCAGTATCAGGCCCTCTCTCCTTCCTACCTCTTCCCTCGCGCTACTCCCATCGCCGTCTCGATGCAGCTCCCCCATCGCCTCCAATCCTAGGACATTTCTCGGCGGCGTGGCCCCGCCCTTGAGGAGAGACTCAGGCTCGTCAGCCGTCGTCCCTGCAATCCGTGGCTCCTCTCCTTTTCCCACAACCTCCGTCTCCATGTTTGCCTGCTGGAGTTCGTCTCCCTTCACCACACCCGTCGTTGAAGGTGCTCCGCCAGATCCTTCTCCGGCCCCCTGATTCCGAGCATCAGCCTCGCCAGCCGTCTTCTCCACTGTCAGATTTGCACCCTCACTTTCCTCACTCGCAAGCGCTGCGTTTTCCCCCTTTGTCTTGTCAACGACCGCACCTTTCGTGATAGGCAGCTGCTTTGCTTTTGGCGCAGCTTTTTCCTTTTTCACTTTCGGGGCGCGCTCAATTTTGGGTTTGGGCTTCCTGTGCTGATTCATCGGCTTGGTCTGCCAGCCCCTGCGGAATTGCCACGTGGCTTCAGGGACGGACACGGTGTCCTCCTGCAGAGGAAGAACGATCGAACGTCGCTATGATTGACCCTGTCGTACTTGGCAAACGAGCTTTATCTGGGGCAGGCGTACGAAAATGGCTGAAATAGCCTTGTTTGTGGCTTGAAAATGATCGAATACTGCTGAAAGGTGGACAAGGGCACAACTAGAGGGAGCTGATGAGTTGTTCGGAAGAGTAGATCTTGAAAGTGAAGGTACATGCCCCTGCCATACGATCAGTAGGCTCCTTTGGCTAAGGGCAAACGGAGAGCTCAATATGAGCGACTTCACTTCACCAACTTCACACCTGCGGCTCCGATCCGTCCTATGATCCTTTAAAAGGCCGTTGACATCGGATTCCTGCCTTGCGAAGGTTCGGTCCAGCCAAACAAGGGTCAGCCAAGGAGAAAGATTCGCCGGGTACAGACGGTCGTGAAGTCCATGCAGTGCGCACACACCTTAGCATACTGGAGGGCTTTTTTAGCCGCATCCGCAAAGCCTGTGGCCGTGCAGTGCCCATGGTAAAGAGCGGAGATGTTTGCTACCTGCACATCAGAACAAGGCTCAGGCAAGAAGCGGGACCGCAGCCATCATCTTCAGTTTCACTTCTTGAGTTTTCTGTCTAGATCATCTTAAGAGAACGACCAGTTAGAATGCCAATAAGATACAAACCATGTCAAAGGCAATCAGGATACAATCATCATTGTGAATCAAGCAAAGAACTCCGGATACATATCTTCAGAAGGATCGTTGCTGTTTGATTGGAGATCGCCGCATCTGGGGATCGACCTTTATGTTCTTGCAATCAGGCAGGGGCACCGACCTCTATCCATTCGGACGTTAGCTCAGATATTGGCCTGCGGAAGATCCTGACGTCATGGGCTGAAGTGCACACAGCAAGGAGACACCTGCAGAGTATGACACACGCATAAATCGAGTGCAGAAGCAAACGATCTGCAAGGAATCACCTACTTCAGCGATGCTGCTCGTCGCTAGGCGCCAACGAGACTGTGACTTTCGTGGGCGCAATTCATTCAAATCAGCAATCACCGATTTGTTCTACTATATCTCACTGACCTCCCGTTTTCACTGGAAGTCTGAAGTGGACAGAAGAGTAGCTCTGAGCAACATACCATGTCTATCACTTTGGATGCAAATCAGAACATACTCAACAACAATACGACCTGCAGCTAGCACAATGAAAGGAGTGATCAGGGAGCTCAGAAGCATACCCAGCGTCAGGTGCAAAGCCCTGGGGCGACCAGTCTATGCTACGGATGTGCGTCTGCGTCTCCTTGCGCAGTTTGAGGGGGAACACGGACGGTTTCGTCGAGTCTGGGTAGGAGGGGAAAGTGTTGGAAAACAACCACGACAGGGCTCTGGACCCAATTTCATTCAGAAGGACACCCGCAACTTAGAAGCTGCTTGTCGGCTCTCTGTGAGACTGGCTGTCAGAGGATCTTATAAGAATGACCTGCCACAGCTCATTTCTCAGAGATCTCATTGATGATGTAGTCACAAACTTGCTATGCGCACAGTCTTAAGATTCTCACTGAGTGCCTGCTGAGATGGTAAGTTCGCGGCGGTGTACCTTCATCCGAGATCTCCCCAATGTCCTGCTTTGGGCCCTGCGGAAGGGTGATGTAACCCCGGGGGCCAGACAATGACGACGGATCCTGCCACATGCAAAGCCGGTGGTGGAAATGCGCTTCTTGATGCAACGTACTGAAATGAAAGGTGCCGCAATAGATGATGCCACGGAGCTCTGTTTAAATTTTGAACAGGGGCATAACTACATTTGGGACAGAGTTTGCACCACACCAACATTTCAACATGATACTATCAGACTTGCGGGGCTCGAAACTGTAATGTGGGGAATACAGGGCCTCAGAGCGGAGGCAATCCATGGAGTAGTATATACAATTCAGTCCTGGCAACGAGGGGGCAATTACGAGCCTGAACAGATGATGAACAAGCGGTGCAACACCTTCTGAGAACAAATATGTGTTGCACCACAACATGGACGCAGGGGAAATGCTGACTTACCAAAATGGTCACCAGATGCCCCGCCGCAGCTGCCAGCAGATTCTCTTCGGACCACCGCACGGAGTTGGGGAACACCGGCACCGCCACCAGTGCGGTTGTGTCCAAGCAAACGACCTGCTCCATCATGGAGTTAGCTCTATCTCTCAAATGTCCATTGGCTTGCGCGACTTTAGGTTACTGCAAACACGACGTAGGATGCAAGCGGCTCCTACTGGCTTATTGCCCGGCTTTGTTAAGTTTTGGCTATCAAATTGCTCTGTGGAAAGGCTCGCGGATGTCCGAGCTGGTGTCAAACTTGCAGCTCAAAGCAACATCAGGGGGCTCCGTCAAAGTTGTGGCGCGAAGGAAAACTGTTGCATGTACGTGCGCCATTGTTGCATTGCATTTTTCAAGCTGACGAGTATGCGCGCGCATGCGCCAGCTTCAAGGGTTTAGGGTTGAGGACTTTTAGGGCTTTCTCAAAGGATTTAAGGGTTTGCCCTTGGGGCCTTGGGCCAAACGACGAAGCTTCTGCAATGCGACGCTGGCAGCATTGGAGCAATGGAGGCCGCCTTCTCTCCGGCTCATAGGACGCTTTGAATGTTCGTTTCACTTTCAGCAAAGAGATCCTTCAGCAGGAGGGCAGAGGCGTGTCTTTGCCTCGACAGTGCTGTAGCAGTGGGGAGCGTGGTCCTGTGTGGGCAGCAAGCAAAACGTGAGACTTCCTTTGATTTTGATGGAGCCCCCTTTCTCTTAAACCTATCTTGAAAGAAAACTCATTCGACACAGAAGACGTTCAGACGCTTTCATTGAAAAGCAGCAGCATCTGTCATCTTCTTCTCATTGACTATCAGAACGTGGTTCCAGTCACCTGTGCCTCGTCGTCGCTCCCTCTCCGCCTACTTAAAAGATGGCTAGCTTGCATTCATCCAAAAGATTTGCTGCATTCAAATCTTCCAAACCGCCTGTCTCAATTTGAATGTTTGGAGCCCTCCACTCGACTCTGAGGAACTGTCTTCCTTCCTCAGGTTTCCACTTCGCTTCAGCTACTGCAAAGGGTCAGGAGGAAACTTAGAGGATGGCCGCCTCTGATCTGACCATGTGAGCTCTCCAATACTTACTGCCCCTTCTTCCTCGGCTTCTGCCAATGCTGCCTTTCAGTTTTGTCAAGCAACTTCAATTGCCTCGCATGAGCCCTGTCATCAGCCTGGAAGGCATAAGAAGAGATGCGTCAGTATCACTTACAGCTGGCTTGACAAGTGGTTGAAGGATCTCTCGGGGTTTGCAGGTTCAGATCTTGTAAGCCTCAATTGACCCCAACCCTTCACCCTGCAGAGCTGTTGGGGACATTCATGGGCAACTCCCGAAGCTTCTCAAGCTTTGGAGCAACTTGGAAAAGTCGCTGGGGCCAGCATTTAACACCGCCACTGTGATCTTCCTTGGTGACTACAACGACCGGGGGCCGCAGGTCGGGGGCGTCCTTGACTGGCTCATCTTTCTGGATAAGCGGTACCCAAAGCAGAAGCACGTGTTCCTGGCTGGCAACCATGACTTCTCCTTTGCTGGTGAGTACTTGATGAAGCGAAGCGATGAATTAGGACTATGTAGAAACGAATCAGTGCCCTAAGTCCCCCCCCCAAGTTACAACTAGGTTTCCTTGATAATTCACCTTGAAAGACGCCTCAAGGAGATAGACATTGGGCATTGCAGAATTCTTGAATCAGCGGAAAAGGGCCCTTTGGGAGTATCATGTAAGCGGGCGCATTTGTGTAAAATTTGATGATGGCCAACAACGTGCTGCCTCATTCAGTGTCTTGAGCAGAGTTTTCTGACAAAAAGTTAGGATCAGACCCATCGGTATGCCTCTATCCCTGCCAAATAAACTTCACCTCCCCCACACGTGTTGCTCTTGTCTGTGATAATCAGTTTGCACTTTTTAGCCTGCTAATTCGAGTTCCTTGCTCTTCGTTTTCCCAGCTTTCCTGGGTGTCCTGCCCCCACCTCCCGCGGGCTTCTCGTACAAGTCCACCTGGGAGGGGCTGGCTGCCAGAGAGCCGCAGCGGGTAGAGAAGGAGGGCTGGTGGGACGGGGAGGGCGTTGAGGAGGTTCACCTGCAAGGGCGCCGCTGGGCTGGAACGCCCAAGAACAAAACGAATGCCAAACGGGGCATGTCCTACATGGGCTCCATTTATGACTCGGCCCCAACGTTCAAGAGCTACGGTGAGGCGTCTTGCTGATTCAATTTGCGTCTAGCTCCAGTTGACTTGTCGGTCTATTGAAGTCGCTGAAAGGAGGTGTGCCTCGTTGCTCTAGTTTTGTTCCTCTTGGTCGAAGTTTCCGGTTTTGTGATACTACAAATTGTCATGTTTGCTGTGTTCAGTACAATGTCATTCCGTCACGCCCTGAGATTTGAGGTGCGATGCCTGTGGGACACACCTTCAAGTCGACTCATTCACTACCCCCTCTATCAGGCCTGACTCGACAGGTACAACTACGGTTATTCTGAATGTGTGGCTCTGAAGCATCGGACTTGAAGTTCTGGAGGTTGTTCCTATCACGTGGTCAATCAGCATCAGTTCCATTCTTCACACAACGTGATGAGGACCATCCTTTCTCGATCTTTCCTCAGGTGTCGAGCACGGCGACCGCAAGGGCCTGATCGCAGCCGTTCCCGAGATGCACAAGGAGTTCCTCCGAAACCTCCTCTGGGTCTACGAGCAACCCGGACCCAGCACGGGGGAATACACAAAGATCATTGCTGTCCATGCCGGCTTGGAAGCGAGTACGACCGCACCTATTGAGAAGCAGATCGAGTTGTTGAAAGCGCGGGACGTAAGAGTTGAGCGAGTTGAAGCGCTCAGCGGGAGGGACAACGTTTTGCAGAACCCGAAGGAACTTGCGGAGGCGGGCGTGCTGCTGATAAGCGGGCACCACGGGTGGCTAGACGTGCGGGTGAACCGGATGATCATTGATGAGTGCGGGGGTTTTGAAGATAAGCCGCTGGCCGCAGTCGTGTTGCCCTCTAGGCAAGTAATCCGGGACACAGACGTGGTGGCGGAGAGCCAACATCCGACTTCCAACGTAGGCAATGCTCAAATCTGATTCTCCAACAATCGTTCGAGACTTCGCGGTTTCCAACAACTCAGTCCTGCCGGCCGGGTACGTTGTGCAACAGATTGTTGCGACTAGATTTACCTAGTGAATGATCGACTAAGTTACCATTTCGATCGAAGGTCGGGACTTGGTACCATGATTGCTTGTGCTTTCAAGTCCATGTGCCAACCGTCTGCAAGCCCGACTGACTCGATATTGCAGCTACCCATGAGCGCAATTCTGATTGGATGAGCAGGCGGCCACAACGGTCATGCATGACCGTACATATACTCGGTGCATAGACAGAGTGTACTAAGGATCACCTAGGTGGCCGGCTTGATGACGGTGCACTGGATGTCGATACACAATCAATAACTCCGTTGCGGCCCTAGCTTGATCCTACAGATTGTACATGCCAGCGCACATATGGGGGTCGAGTGGGGTTGGAACGGCGACCGGGACTGCATGGAGGCGGTGCACAGAGCGTTTCTGAGAGGCTTCTTTCGGTGGTACTATTGGAGGTTGGTGTGCTCAAAGGCGATCGGATTGGGAAATTCGGAAGGTTTCCATTGGGAGTGCAGCGCGCGGTGGCGGAGAGTGTCGAAGTGTGCCGGAAGGGCCCGGTTGAAGGTCTGGGGACGGATCGGTTAGCGGGCCGGTTGGCTTGGAAGGAGAGCGATGTGGGAGGAAGGCCAGGGGGGGTGGTATGCGAAGTTTGTGAAACCGTCGGAGCCTGGAGCCGCCTAGTCCAACTGGTTGATGTACAAGAAGTTGGCCGGTCGGCCGTTCGTCTATTAACGGAGCGTGCTCACTTAGCGTACATGGTTGATCTTCGAGAGCAACGGGGTTCGAAGTATGAAACTTTCTCCGCAAAAATAAAAGAGAAGTTACGATTGGGAAAGTTATCTAGATCAACTTCAAGTTGCACCGTTGTTAATGCTAATTTTGGCCAGCTTTCGGGTAGGCTCCCATTCTTTTGGTATTCTTTAGCTGTAGAGACAGAGAGGTGGCAACTTGAACGACCGTCTAGATCGTGCAAGCAGATTTTGTAAAGTTTGCGATGCCACTCGTGTGGAGGACGAGAAACATTTCGCGTTCGATTGACAGTAGAGGATTATGACGATATATACGACAAGCTTTCCAGGTGCGTTGTTTCTTTAGACGGCAGGAAGGATTTGAGGCGCTTCAAAAACGGTACAGACCAGGGTGCTGTAGCTGAATTCATACAATCAAGTACGCAGAGGAGAAAAGCAACTTTGAAGAGAGTAACTCGGAGAGGATAGCAGTCCACTATAGCTGCCTGTCGACGGTCACTGGCCCCGAACGGACTCAGCTATAATCTCTCAATCGAATCGAGTCATATCTGACGGCCTGCTGGCACATGAGAAATTCATAAGGACGGTTGCATGGTGCATGATCGCATATACTCTCGTATACTCAGTGAGGCGAAGTTGACGTTTACATAATCAATTTAGTGCACAATGATGCACACAAATCGGAAATTGATTGTTATACTGATTGCACCAGTTCTGCGCCAGTTCTTTGAAAATTAATAATATACGCGTGCAAGGCTGAGTGACATGTCACATGAAGTGCACATGCGCACATCGATCGATCTGATCCAACATAAGCTGCATGGACCATATGCACATGGGCGCCGGAGACAGTGCTCCTCGGTTAACTTCCTGAAGTACAAAGTGCGTCGAAGTGTAGCGACTGGACGAACGTAGCTTTCAAACCGCTTTCTGAAAGGTAGCGGTTTGAGTCCAGAAACGAAGCCCACTCTGACGATACAAGAAGCACGAGCGGCTACTGCGGAACCTATGCAGTTGACCGGCGAAGTCAATCAAGTTGGTAATCATGTAGCCAGACCAGTACCTCGTTCCTCTGCAAGAAAACACACTCCGGATTCAGACCCTGTTAGCAGCCTCTTAATGGACAGATCGCTGATGCCGCCTGTGATATGCCGATTACTTCATTGCAAGCACCATAGAGCTCTCTCAACAGGGTTCTTCTTGTTGGAGGTAGAATGCCAAACGGAAACTAGCGTCGGGTTCACAAATATAGTCAAAGCGCTCTCAACAGTCAGCACAACCGCCGCAGCCGTCTCCTCACCGAGATTCTATATACTTCAATCGGCCCTACTCTTTACGGAGAATCAACTCACCGTTAGGAAGCCCAGGCTTCCGGGAAAGCTGTACCGCGCAACGGCGTAACCCTCTTCCGCTTCCAGGCCGTCTTTCCGCAGCGCCTGCCGGAGCTCTCGCTCTAGTTTCGCCACCAACGCTTCGGACGGCGTGCCGCTGAATCGAACGGCGGCGACGCACGAGGCGCCCACCTCGCGGACGCTCACAGCGCCCACGGACGCGTCCGAAATGCTGTGGGGAAGCGGGATGGGTTATGGTTTCTTGTCAGGTTACATCTGTTGAAACCAAAATCAGAGAGCGTTCACAATAAACCCTAGTTCTTGTCTCCTTTCACGTTGAAATGATGTAGACAATCCGATCATTTCTGCTATGAAACTAGGCCCAGATGTTTTTCACGTCAAGGGCGAACAATGCATGCTGCGGCTGGTGCACTCATCGCCAATCTTTTCGACAACGTATGAGTTCTGGAAGACCTGTGAAGGAACAAATTTGGCGAGTATGGGGGCAGGCGCCCTCTTGACCACTTGTTTCTCAAAGCCCCGAACCACAGTATCATAACGAAACTATGATATTGATAGTTGCAAAAGAAACAATCGCGAGCAATTAATGCATTCGGAACCATTTGCTGGCCCTGATCACGCATGCTATGGCAGCCGACTCATATTTCGGTAAAACGAAGGGTACCTTTCCGGTGCGAACACCGCCTCCACCGGTATGCTTGGAACCGCTGCCGTGGCTTCCGCTCCACGAACCCAGCTAAGAAGCGGAAGCAATGGAGCGCCCTGATCCGACCTCGATTCCACACGCCTGCGTCCGAGAAAACGACGGTCCGCTTTGATAGTACAGTTGTCAGAAAAAGCGGCAATTCAAGCGGCAATTCAGAGTGCAGAGTCTCCGACCCGCTGAAGGAATCACTGGACCCTGTCCAGTCTGCAGGCCTAGCTTCGGGGACCCAGGCAAAAAAAGGCAATAAAAGTTCGCGAATAGATTGTCGATCACAGATTGCAAGACAGCAATTGAAACGATATAGCGCGTTATTGACCGCTGACAAGAAAGGACAACAGTCGTCGCTTATATGCGCTGTAGAGAAACCATACAGCAGAAAAGAATACGAGGTGCGGCAGAGGCACAAGCTGCACAAGATTACCCCCGCCGCCTCACCAAGCGGCTCTTCAGCAACAGCAGGTCTATGAAAGCTGAGAGATTGGCCACAGGTCGGAATTCTTTCAGTCGAGAAAAAGCCGGCAGGGTTGGCTCACTTTCGGAGCTCCACTAAGCTGCTCGTGTCTTCGATGCTGCGGCTCGAGGAGGCCTCAAGGACGCGGAAACTAGGGTAGCGACGGATCTGCGCAAGGAGCGGGCGCGCGTTCTGCTCAAGGACTTGTATACGCTATGCTCAACTCAACGGTCAGCAACCATGTTGCTTGGTTCCCGGCAAGAAAAGTTGCGTTGCGCTCTTCTTTCTTTCCGCATAGAGATAAATGAATAGGGCCCGCTTGAGCCCGACAAAGACTTGATGGCCTGTCAAATTGTTTTGATTGCAGTGACGCTATCGGAGTGATTCTTCCCCTTGGCCTACCTCAAATGTCTCCGAGAAAAGTGTGCAGCAATCTCGAAGGTGAGGCCATAAAAGGCCGAAGCAGCAGAACAAGAGCGAGTTGACATCGAAACGACAACACGCCCTGTGCGCAGCAAGCAACCCGACAACAATAGTCTCAAAGCTGTGTCGGCACGAGAGGGCTGCGGAGACAGTCAGATGGGAATAGTAAACAAGTGGCTAGCTCCCGCTCGTGTTCCCGCGGGATATTGTTTTTACATCCCCCACTTATAAGGATATAGAAAAGCTCAAAGCTCTTTCAAACAACATGCAAAAAAAACAAAGAAAAGAAGAGTGAATCGGGGAGGTCGGAAGATAGCGACTATTGCTTGGGGCCGGCTCACCTCGTAGTGTGCGGTTCTCTTCAGTATGTCGAAGGGAATCTGCTTGCCTCGAGGGGTCTGGGCGAGGTTTGAGACCTGGACACCAACCCAATAATGTATTTTTTTGGGCGCAATTTCGCTCAGAGGCAAACGGGTTTGGCAAATAACCTGAGGAGCCGCGAAATCGGCTCGCGAACTTGAAGGGTTATCAAGGATCTGATTCAGGAGCTGCTCGACTGACAGGAGATGCGGGCGTTTATGATAGTAATCGTGCCCTGAAAACTCAAAAGATATCGCCACAGATGATCGAAGAAGCAACAACGTCTTTTCACCAGAATTCGAACCCATACCCTGGACGAGAAATCTGTTCATCCGTTCCATGGTGACCAGATGTGAGCACGCGAATGGAGTTTCTTGGCACGATTCGAGCTTCGATTGAACGCTTCAATCAAGTCCCAACAGAGCGGCGAAACTAGAGCGTTGCCGGCGGAACGATCAAACAGGTATTGATAATGCCCACCTGCTTCAGGAAGTCTCGCAAGCCTTCCATGGAAAAATAGTCGTTGTCCTGGATAGAGTCCCAGATATCCTGTTTGGAAACAGCGATCGATCGGGATCAGCAGGGAAGCGTAACTAGAAGTTGGAAGGTCGCAATCAGCAGGGAAGCGGAACCAGAATTTCGCAAATCGCGCAATTGTATCAAATTCGCACTTGATAGTTGGGCGCATGTCTTGGTCTTACTTACAAGGTAAGCTGAAACTTGTTTTGCGGTCGGTTCCTCGTTGCCAGAGGAAACCAGTCCCAATGACACCGGCTTGATGTGCTGTCTACGTAACAACGAAAGATTGCAACTCCAGCAGCGCCAGACCCTTTGTTATGTACCAAGCGACTGCTAGCTGTCTCTCAGAATCCAGCAGAAATTCTCCTCACAATCTCGGGCCCTCGGGCCCCGAGTCCGACAGACAGCGGGACCTCCTGACAGTGTACGGTTGAAGCGGCTGGTTGCAGGATTGACGGTTATAATCAACTGCCCGTCAATGAGCAGACTCCGGCAAACTTCCTCGTGAGCTCCTCTGTCTTCATATTGCAAACTATAGAGCCGCCCAAAACGTGGGCACTCCTGAAGCGTAGACAAGGTGACCGCAACTTTGCGCACTCGTGGCATGTCACTTGAGTCTCTCGGTGGCGCCGGTCGTTCTCAAACATGATAGTGTCGACCCAGCCATCGGGGCGTAGAAAGGACGTGGACTCAAAACCGCTCTACAAAAGAACACGGTCGAAGTTTGCTTGACTCACGACGTGGCGGTTGAAGCGGCCGGTGGCTGGATTGACGGTCATGATGGAGCGACCAGTGAAGACGACCTCAGGCACCCAGGGGACGAGCCGGAAGTAGAGCCGCATGCACCACCGCGTCGTGATCTCCGAAGGGCCTGTCTGAGGGACCGCCGTGGGGTGAGAAAGAGAGACTGATAACAGGCAAGCTGCACAGGTGCTTTGCAAGGTGTTCACGAGCAAAGAGTTGCGAAGTGGGACCCAGAAAACTGTCCCTAGTAGCAGTGTTGACCACTGGGAGATGCCCAAAAAAGGATCGGTTGTGTTTGGCATACAACGCTTGGGGTATGTGTGAACAGTGGAGCGCGACGACACGCCAAGGGGCAGGGATGAGAATCTCACGAAGTTGGCTTCTTAGGCTGACGTTTGTCTAGCTATTGTCACGAAGCTGCATCTAAAAGGTTCAGGTTTGACAGATCCATGATCTCAACACGAAGTGACAGTAGCTGACTTGATCTTTCCATCGGTGTGACCGTTGTTGTCACTTGACGGAAATGGCTAAACGCAACCAGGAAACATTGTGTGGCAAGCAAAGACTGTTAGCTCCTACTGTACAAAGAAAAGTGAACCAGCATGAAATCCTCTGCATGATTTAGCATAGTTGCGCTTGATAAGGACGAGCCGCTTACCTGCTTGATGTTCCGCAGCTCAAAGATGGGGCTGAACAAGAAGCGCAGCATCTGGAAGAGAAAACGGGACTTGTGAGGTCGTTTTCCAAAGGGGCGTGCCAAACTGGTGGTCCGAGCAATCTTCTCTGCCTGGTAGAATCCAGCCACAGAAGCTTCTCTGGAACAAAACGGACGAAGCTTGGAAAGTGGGGGCTCAACATTGAGGGGCAGAGAGTTGATAAAATGAAGCTGAGCAGCTCTGAACCTGTGCCCCAAAAGTTGTCAAGCTCTCACGAATCCTTCCATCCTGCAACTTTGTGCCGGAGACGTCCAATCAACACAATGAACCATGGCGCATATCTTCAAACTCTCCACAACCTCCACTCACCTGGATGTTGAGCAGGTATCCGCTCAGGTTGTCGTACTTAGTGATTGGGTCAATGAACGCCACCTTCTCATCGTACTTGCTCTTGTCGATGCCCTTCTCATTGAACAGATTAGGCAAGTCCACCTTTAAGAACTCAATCATCTCGCTCATAAGATTTTGCGACACGCTCTCCTGCGCACCCTCTACGTGCACCCGCGCCGCATTGCCCGCCACCTGCCGCGATCCCCTCTGCCCCATTCTAATTCTCCTGCCCACTTTCGCCCCGCACCCGGCGCACGTCTTCCATGGGCAGAATCCAGGCGTGGCGCTTGAGAGGGAAGGAGAAGCGCGAGGGGCGACAGGGGAAGAGGCGGATATGCGGTGGCGTTGCCTGCGCTGATCGCCAAAGTTGCTGGAAGTGAGATGGTGGAGGAGCTGCCTGGTGCCCAGCACGGCTGATCGAGACATGGTCCAATGCTGTGCCGCCCCAGCTGGCAGCCTCTTGACGGGTTAGTCCCGACTCTCGAGTCTCCTTTGTCCCCTCTCCTTTGCCCCTCCAGATCGTTGGTTGTCTCTCTCACGTCGTTCTTGAGTCGAGTCTCCAAGTTCAACTTGCGGGGAACATCCAGGAGCACATATGGCGCATGACGAGAGTGCTTATTTTTCCTCATATAGAGCCTATTATGGTTCTTCGGGCCGAGCAATTGCGGCTTGAGACCGGCAAAAGTTCGCCTGATAAGCTCCTCAGAGTCATAAAGCCCGCTGGCCTAATGCCACTTATCCATCATATCTAGCATGAATATATAGGCTCATGAATCAAACTTCAAAATTGGGAATTGCAGCGAACTTGAAACTCCAGCACGTAGCTTGAGCCTTGAGGCTTGAGCCTTGATCCCAGTACTTTCTACAGGTGTCTGATGCTGCAGTCAAGAAAGCATGATGGCGCCTTCAACATGATTGCAGGCTGAAGCCACTGAAAGTCTGCACTTGCTCAAAGAGTACCTCAGAAGGTGCAGACCCCTTGACAACGAAAGCTAGAGGCTTGAGGTCGTCTAGGACGGTTCAGATGCTTCTTTAGGAGCATTGCTAACTAGAGTGATGTTGCGCGGAGGAGTCAACATCAAGCTGTGCAGAGGGGGAAACTTCCTAAACCTCGATGTAGAGTGAAGCTTGCCGCAAGTCCGTCATTTTAATAAACTCTGTATAGGAGTGTCAAGTGAAAAGAGACGGAAGAAAAAAGCGGACCACATTATGTCTCGGACAATCTTCGAGATCCAGAAGTTTTGGGACATCTTGCGCTATACGGGGTTCGGGCTGGGCTGCTTCACAGCAAGCTACATGTACTGCAACGTCAGGTCAGCAACCAACGCCGCGCTGTTCTTTTTCCCGGATCCGCCAGAAAGACTTTGGTCAAGGATTGTCTGAAAGGTCCATCAGAAGGTGGTGCGAGCAGCTGCTGTACAAGTTACTTCTGGGGCAAAAGTCAGGTATAAGGTCATGATACTTTCAAAGTTTCCATAGGAGTACGGGTTACGTAAAAGTTCTTCAAAGTTCCCATCGATTTGGTGGTGTTGTGGCTACACAGGTCCCCCTTTGTGGGTCTCAGCATCAAGCAAGCCCGCGTGGTGACCATACATTTGCCAACTGAGTGCCTAGCCAAGCGCTGCCTAGGAACTTCTTCCAATGTATTATTGGATCATTGCAATGAGCACTTGAAGATTTTGTGTGAAAAGTATTGTCATACGGTACCAGATCCTTCAGCGTCTGATTCTCAACTGACTCATCTCCCCAGCCCCCTGACACAAACACTAACGAACTAATCGAATGCGCCTCTTGCGAACTGGCTTTCCCGTGTCCTGGCCGCTTGTACTTGTGAGCAAGAAAACAACTGCCGAGGCGCTTGTTCATTTCCAGCTTCTCCTCTGACTCAATGTTGACACCTTATCTTGGCTGAATTCTCCAGCACACGGGCGAACGTACCTCGGCAGGGCATCTCCTATAGTACATACCCTGCAGGAACCGAGCTCCTTTTCAACGTCGGCCAGGTGAGCATGACGGTCGCTTCTACTGGGCTCACTATTGACTTTTGCGCTTACTTTCCGCCGCTTTCCGTCCAGCTATAGGATTGTACATGATTGACATCAATGATGAGGAGATTCAAAAGAGTGGGCCCCAAACTCAGGTTGGGTTCTTAAGGCAAGCCCCTAAAGAAGGGTGTTTGGTAGGCAAGTCCCACATACCAGTCACTCCAAAGTCCTCCTAGGTTGGGGGCTTTAACGAACTATTGACCAGTCTGTTCTGGCCGCAAAAGAAGACACCATCTGGGGAAGCTTTTGACCTTGTAGGGGCGTTTGAGAAGCAGGCTTCTTGCGATGCACGTCGCAATGTGACATTCCTTCCGGTGGAAGTCGAGTTACCGGCAAAGCAGGACACAACCTTTTCTGTCGTTGCAAATAGATGGTCTGTGGTTCCCTCAGAGCGATACCTTCAGAAGGAGCGATGGGACTCGAAGCCTTTCCAAACAAGTCACAATCATGCAAGTAGCTTATCATCAGGCCTTAGGCGGGTGACCTTTCAGAGAGTCTGCATGCGGGAGGTCCCTCCTTCGTTCTTCTCTCTTCGTCGTTCATCGTCTTCGAAGACGCTTATGAGTTGCATCGGTGAAACTTTGTCATGGCGGTTCTTAGGGGTCAATGGCTCTGATTGCCCTTGGAAAAACGGTTGAGTTAAAGTTTCCGCATGTTCTTAGCCTTGGCCGCGACTCAGGTTGGTGACCCCAAGAAGTATTGCCGTGTATACGTCTCCAGCTAATTAAACTGGCTCTCGTAGTCTTAAAATCTTCTCAGTGGAGACGTTGGACCTTAAAATTGTTTCCACCCGTTACCCGCACACGAAAGCCGTACAGTCTTTCGTCCTTCGTTTGTCGCCGTTCGACCACCAAACCGTCCGACTCCTCTCCTCTGCGATCTTCATCAAGCGGTCTCGTCTTTGCACAGCTCTACAAAGAGGCGCTCGGGAAGGTGTTCGATGAGGAAGAGTGGGGCCCCGTCGAGTGGGCCATCATGGCCAAGCACTATCAGCGGCAGGGCGAGCCCAGCTACGCCCACCACGCAGTAAGCTTTTTAATTCTCCTCTCTATTCTAGTTTGCATTCGGTCCGACCGCTTACGAAGCCCAAGGGCGGCGGGCTGCTGATTCGTGGGCTCGTCACGACACTTCCATTCTTTGTTTGGCCTGTTAAGGTGTGCTTCTGAAACGTCGTTCAGCATGACCAGGGAGAACGTGTACGATTGGAGGCCGTCTGGGCTCGCTCATGAAATTGGTGCCCTTATCCGAAAGCGTTTCGCTTTCTGGATTGAAAGAAAAGCGCTCGCCCAACGCGCGCGCTTGAATGCAGAGCTTGATCCACATGCGCGAGGACTGACTTTTCAACGGAGTCGATCACCCATTCTTCCAGAGACGTGACAGTGCTTCCATCGCGTCTTCTCGTCAATTTATTGAGGTTGCAATTTGACCTTGAATATTTCCCTCTTTGCCTCCAGGCGTACATGGTGCATTTGGCCTCTAAAGGGAAAGTCAAGCCAGACGATGTAGGAGACTAGCGGAGGTGACTTCGTGGCGAGCATGCTGCTTCGACGTGCTTAATGTACACGATGGGACTTCTGCTGTCAAAAAAGGAAGTGATCAGCTCGCATTGATCCCCTCCGAATTTATGGTAGTGTTGGTAACGGACATGGTCGATGCACTACCTCACAAGTCAAACACAGATTGCTTGTGTTGCACGTACGGGGTCGTCGTACTTGGGTCTTTGTCTGCTAAGCCCTTGCAAGTTCATACAGAGTTGAAATGTGCTGCAAGAGGAATCAACGTCGAATGCCTTCACAGATGTAAAGGCCAGCCAGTGGCATACGGAAGTTGACTGCAAGCTATCTATTCAATTACTTACGTCTCTCATGAGCGTCATATTGAATGCAAGTTTGATCCGACGCAATCAAGGTCGGCCTTTATTTCGCAAGAAGATGTCCTTTCGGCCATCGATCTTCAAGCAGGCCATGACGCGTTTGTCCTGTTACTAAGATGGCCGGGCACCGGAGGGAAGCCTTCGATTGGGTGCTCGCAACGGACCAACGGTATCGACCGACGGACCAACGGTAACGGACCGCTGGTATCGACCCTATATAGCTAGGGCAAATGCTTGAACCTAACATGGTACAAAGCCGAATTGACGAGCGGACGATCGACACCAGGCTTAATTTCGGACCTGACGCGGCCGGTGGCCATCTGGGCCGCCGAGCCCTCCCTGTCATCATGACAGGCTGCAACTTCAAGCCAGTGGGCCTTGTCACCTTGAACACCTTCGCGAGGTGCGGCTCGCGAAGCTGCGCGCTGTGCCCGCGACCCCGCGTCAGTGTCATGTGGCGCGGCCCGGACACGCCGCCGCACTAGAACCTTCAACAAGTTTACAGGCCGCGGCCGCCAAGGGAATCTAGCGCGCGCGGAAATGGAATCTCGAGACATGCTGCCCCAGGTCACAGGTGGCTCCATGCCAATGCCAATGGGGAAAACATAAGTGCTTTCCTGCTGCAGAAGAAGCGTTTTGACATTCTCAATGTTAGAGAGCGAGCTCACCAGCTGGTGGTAGCAACTATTATGTGAGCTGGGAAAAGGAACAGCTTGTGGCAACTGGTTTTGCCGCTGCTTTTTGAGTAAGATACTCGGCACCATTGTCGCTGCTAAGTGCTTCAGCGAATCTCCTTTCGGCGCTGAAGCATGGCTGCGGCTGCCTTGTCCTCAACCCAGTTTGTCAGGATAACGAATTGGGCACCTGAGGCCGCCATACCAAGAAATACTGGCTGCAGCGCAGAGTTTCCTCCAGCTTTGTCGTGGGGAGGATGTGAGCGCTTGGCTGATGGCAGCAATAGGATGCTGAGGAAAGATCTGCCAACTAGGCAACAATGGGCGATCAAGCAAAAGGGCCGGCAACCTGTGTGGCGATGCAGCACAGTGACCATCAGTCAGCAGCAGGCTCAGGAGACAGCACGTAAGTGGTCGCTTTATCGCATTGCTTAATGACGGATCCATCGACATTGGCTGGGAATTGTGTAGAAATTGGTCTCCCGACTAGTTATGCAGAAGGCAGTCTGTGTTGTTGCTTGCAAAGATAAATGCCGCTGGTCACATCTGCATGATTTTCTGGACAGCAATGTGGCTCCATTGAGACTCTGATCAGAATTTCCGTAATGGAAGGGCGATGTAATCGCAGGAACTGGTAATGCTCTGGTCCGAATGCCACCATGCCATCGGAGGGTTGAAGGCCTCTCCAGAGATTAGAATATTGCAAATATCTGACCGCGACAATCTGGCTTAGTGCTTTGGAGGAAGCAGTCCGCGATCTTCAAAATATTTCAGGCCCCGGATCAACCAAGGGCTTGTCTACATGTAGCATGAAGTTAAGATGCAACGTCTTTGATATAAGCTGAAGGCGACTGCCATGCCATGCAGCCGCAGTCCCGCGCACTGCACCAAGGACCAACATTCGGCTGGCCCTTCCAAGCAAGGGGAGAATGGCAGAGGAGACATTGCAATTGCTTGATGTAAGAAACTTTCAGTGTGTTAAACTTGTTCCTTTGTCTTCCTGGTCATGCCTAAGGATTTAAAGGCAGGAGACTTGATCAGGACTGTTGAAGCGTCTTCAAAGCTTATCACAGTTGATTCCTGCATTTCCTCAAGGCGCTGTCGTTGGCTGAGCTGTTTGTGAGGTTGCAGAGCTTCTGCGTTTCTTGAACTAACTGTGGTGGAGCATGTGTGCACAGCAAGGTTTCAACAATAGCCCTTTGTCCCAACAACCTAGGATGCTTTTCATGCAGGACTGTCAACTCACAGTCCGCAAAGTCAACCCTCGGCAATACGTTGCCGACATCGATCAGGTGAGTGTTCTTGCATATACCTTATGTAAAATCAAGTTGCGTTTATCAGTATCTCTGACAGAAGAACCCCAGTTCATTGTTTGCACCTATTCGGCATCACGAAATGTGAGCGACTTATCAAAGAAAAGTCGGTTCTTTGCTGCAGAAAAGCCATCAGCCGTAAGCTAGCAAACGACAGGACCAGGACTTGTCACTTGGCACAAAGTTTCTCCCCTTCTTTATTGGAGCGGGGCTGAAGATTGATGCAACAATTCAGATTGCTGAAGTAGGATTGCTGCAAACAATTGAAGGATGATTGGTCTGCCGCAGCTGGAGCATGTGGAGGTTTGGTTCCAGCGGGCGTCTGACGTGGTGAGGAAGATCAAGTCCGGTGACGTGGACATTGGCATCGTCGGATACGACATGGTTTCGGAGTATGGCGAGGTGAGGAGGCAACTCGTCTTCTGGGGAGAAGCTGCGAGTTGCAGACATGGTCTTGAAGCAGAACTGATGCAATATTAGTCCGACGGCTGGGCCCTGCCTTTACACGGGCTGCCCAGTCCGACAGTAATAAAGCGCTCTGAAGAAAGCGCTGGCTTTGGATGAGCAGTCTAGATTGTGAACATGGCACGATGAACCTTTTTTCCGCCCTACAGACCTTTTGCGTGGTCAGCAGGTCCATAGCCAAGCCAAACCCACGGGTGACTCTGGTGTCTCTTGAGGGCTATCAAGGAGAGCATCCGTGTGCGAGCGAAGAACATTTCCTGATGTCGACGGGTAGCTCACACTGGTCAATGGTCGTCCCCCACATCGTAAGACCGATCGTAGCAATATTTAAAAAAATTGCTCCAGTTCGACTTCCGTGGCTCATCTTCAAAGGTCTTCTGTTTTCTGCATCCAACTCTGGATTGGCTGCGCCTGCAGGGAGATGACGACCTTGTTGTCATCCACGATGCTCTTGGGTTCGGCGGGTGTCACTTGGCTGTCGCGGTATGTCTTGACGAGCTTATTGGCTGCCTGTAGCCAGAAGGTCTACATCTTTGAGCTGCTGACGAGATGGACAAAGTGTTGGTCTTTGCTTGATGCATAGGAGGTTTCAGGCAGATACTGGAGAAGTAGATATCCAAGACGAGACCTTTTCGTGAACATTTTTCCTGAACATCATCGGCGGAGCTCGAACTACTTTTGTGTCTCCGGGTCTGTTTCTTGATTTGCCTCAACTTGCCTCTCGTATGGATTCAATTGACTGGGCAGCCTGTTGAACAATGCGACATAGATATTCATATTACCATCCGAGTCCCCTAAGCCTTTTTCGGTCCGTGAAATCCAGCGGAAGCAATGACACGTTTGTATGCTCCTGGCCCCAGGTCCCAACTTACGGCGAGTTCGGCGGAGTCCACAGCCTAGAAGAACTTGCGGCGATGCCGCAATGGACGGAAGAAAACCCGCTGAGAGTCGTCACTGGGTACAACTATGTAAGCTTGCTTCCTCCCTTTCACGATTGTTCTTCGATCCGCCAACTTCTCCAGGAATCTCCCATCTCCTGCTCACTTGCAGCGAGGCCTATGCCAGAGTTCGAGGGTTTGCGCCTGATACGATGAAGCTGGTTGCTGAAAAGTAATCTGAAACGGAGATCTATGGGCATGGGGAGGAAATGTCTAGGTGAAGCACCAGGAACGGATTGTTTGGTAGACTTATGCTGGTGGTTTGTCTCGAGAGTCCTTAACGTCACTGACAGGAAAGGGCTTGCGCGGCCTGACATACAGTTTGTTCCCAGGTTGTTCTCATCAGAGCAGCACGATTCGCTCTTCATAATTGCATCCTAAGCAATGTTCCTCGTCCAAGAAAGAAAAGGCTCGTGCTTGTTAGGGCATCCTGGCTGGATGGCGGAAAGTCGGCGAATTGACGAGCTGTCTATCGTTCCTTGCAGCTCGGGCAAAAGTTTCTGAGTGAAAAGGGCTTCAAGCACTTTGCGATCTTGACGGCGGACGGGGCGCTCGAAGCAGCACCGGCGGTGAGTTTCAGTCCTACCAGATTGTTGAGCACCGTGCACCTAACAGGCTGTTTTTGCTGGCGCTAGGAATTCGCACTTGCGTCTTTGCAGTTTTAATGTGCGCAAACGAAGGACAACGGCTGATTGGATCCTGCGGTTCAGGAAACTGTTTGCGCCCAACCTCTTCCCGATCAACAGGGTCCAAATAGCCATTCGTCACTACAAGGAAGAGCCCACACTGACTGATCAGAGAAGGTCCGAAGTAAGAGACTGCATGGGGAAAATGCGCTTAAGCCTCTATTTGTCTTCTGACGCTCGCAGATGGGGACGGCGGACGTGATTTTGGATCTGGTGAGCAGCGGGACCACGCTGCGGGAGAACAACCTGCGCGAGCTGGTCGGCGGCAAGGTGCTGGCGAGCGAGGTGAGACCCGGCGAACAACGTGAACAAGGCGATTGCTGCGATTCGCAACAACGGATTGCTATAGTTGCGTCTGGTTTGCAGTCTGGAAGGGGCGGTCAGATGCACGGAACTCCTCTGCGTTCTGACCCGCTACTGTGACGTCGCTTTCGCTGGCAAGTAGCTGCCAGTATGGACTACGTTCTTTCACGAGGCTCAAGCGACTCGCAGGGCGTGAGCGGGTACCAAAAGCTTTAAGGGGCTTGGAGCCGAAATGTGCTTTTGCTGAACTTTCTCAGACGTTTTCGTATCCCTCTCCCTGCACTCGTCCAACACTGCGATGCACAATCGGCAGACGCTCGCTGCCCTCGAGGTGCAGCGCTTGGACGTCTTTCATACAAATCATCTACAACTGACGTCACACCTCGTCTGAGAATCTTCGTGATTGGCGAAGGAAGCTCGTCGGAGACTTTCCATTCCCTCCTTCCTCTTTTCTCGGATGTTTTCCGTTTGAAGGTAGCTTGTGATGGGTCATTCGCTCTTTTTTTGTTCCTGCACGGAGAGCTGTTGCGTGTTCCCATTTTGTCAACGAACGAATTCCCTTTCTTGAGGTGAAGCGTTGGACGTGGGTGCATTCCTCCACACAGGCTTTTACTAGCTTCCAAAGAATGTATGAAAGACACCGAGTTATGCACTTACACTCTTTTCTTGGTGAATCAATAGGGGGTTCTCGTGGCCAACCGGCGATCTCTAATGGAGCGGGACGGAGTCATCCAGGCGGTCAAAGACATTCTCGAGAGGCTCGAAGCACACCTGCGGGCGTCTGACAAGTTTTCGGTGAGCGCCGGACGTCCGTTGCCCGCCAGCTGTTGTCTCTTTAATAATCTGGTCATGCGCAAACGAGCTACGGCTCACGTTGAGGGTCCAGATGCTATCTGGAAACCTGCAAAACGCAAGAGGTTTTCACTTCCAGTGAGAATACGGCAGAGAAGCCCACGCTGTCGGCAGACTCGTCGGCAGGGTCTCTGCAGAATCTGCTTCTGTCGATCTGCTGAAGTTGCCGAGTCGAGAACAGGCCCACATGTCCTTGCTAGTTGTGTGGCCTTTCAGTTTCATCCGAGAAGATTTATTCACTGAGCAGCCGTTCCTCAAGCCACGGCATAGCCGCCGGTCTGACGATCTGCTTTCTGCTCGCCAAGGTCGTCGCAAACATTCGAGCAGAGTCGGAGGAAGACGTCGCTTCGAAGATCCACCAACACACCGACTTCCCGGGCCTTCAGGTGAAAGGCATTCGCCGCCACTGCTTCTCTTCTTGTGTACTCGATCTGTCTTTTGTCGAGACGTTCTCGTCATTCCGGTTGCATTGAGGGTGCTTATTGACCCTGCGGAATACTTGGGAAAGCCTCCCGGTCTTCAATATACCTTCAGCACTTCGGACGTACATCACAAAATATCTTCCTCGTGCTGCCTAGCACAAGCCCGAGGCCTTGCGTCGCCCACTTCGAAGTCGCTGGCACCAAGGCTGGGTTCTGAGTCAGGGACCGGGAATGTCCTCTTGTGGCGGCCAAAAATGATTCAGGTGCTTACGAATGATGGGCTTTCTAGACCAGCGTCCAGCGGGAGATGCAGAATATCCTAAAGCACAATTGATTCAAAGGCCCCTTTCAATGTTGTTTCGGCGACGCTCAAAATCGAATGTAGCTACCAATTATTGGAAACTCGCATCGAGCTCTTTGATCATACCGGTCGTTCTTGAGCTAGGCCCACGTGTGGTGCAGGGCCCGACAATTAGCCCTGTGTACACGTACGACTCCGCCAGCGGCAAGGCCGTCCACAACTTTTATGCGATCACAATTATCGTACCAAAGCCGCGGCTCTACGACGCAGTACAACAACTGCGAGCGGTAAGCCTGCTGGCTTGACTCAAATCCAACCGCTTGAAGTGAATTGCATACCTGATGGCTTGCTGGAATATTTTCCCCCATTGTCGTGCTGCGGTTCAGTGACTCGAGCTTTGTGCTCCTGCAGATTGGAGGGAGCGGCGTTCTTGTCTCCCCACTTGTTTATATTTTCGACGAGGAACCACCTAGGTGGCGGCGCTTGTTGAAAGAGCTGGGATTGGAATCGAAATTTTGAGGCGCCTGGAAAGCTGAGGTCTAACCGGCAAGCTTTTGTTCAGCCAAAAATTGGCCGACCGCCCCATTGCACTCACCTCTATGGTCAACAAGTCTTGAAAGTCCGGAAATGCAGTGCTTTCGATCGAGCTCTTCATTCCAACTGGTTTTCTGGGCCTCGGATGATTGAATTGCAATCAGCATAGGTGCTTACACATTAGAACTGCATGTTCATGTATGCTCATGCCAGCCGCGTGCAATTCATGCTCATTACCTAAACTGCACGGATTAGCCCTTAGCCTGCAGGCTGGGACTGTGTTTCCAGAAGGGATTTGAGCCATCCATTTGCTAGGCTAAATTGCCATGCGGCGGTCGATACATAGCGCGGCAGCTCATGAAAATGGGAAAATTGTGCCGCTTATTACATGCGAGTCTTGGGAGTGCAAACAAATTGTTTGCCACGGCCCCTGATTACTTTCCAAGGGCAGTGCTTTGACCTTTTTGCTCCAGAGGGTACCTGACCAGAAAAGCCATGGAAGAATGGAATGGACTGCCTCTACCTCTACTGACCTAGCTACCTAATGTTCGAACTTCGGCTCCAGATTCCTAGTACCCGGTATCATGTAGTAGTATGTACTCGGTCTACAGGCTACGGTACCTGAAGCTGAGACCTCGAATCCGTACGGAACTGAAACTTCCATACGTCATGATCCATCACTGAGGTTGACCGGGCCAGATGGCAGCACAGTGCACACAAATACGGTACGCGGTACACCGTACCTAGGACTACGCATGGTACCGTAGATCCCGCTCAATTACTACAATTGAATTTCATTGGCCAGGAAACTGCGCTGCAAGATCGTTCTCAAAGTCAAGGTGGTTGACGTTGACCGTCCAATGAGTAGAATCGAAGTGTGTTTGTTTGTAGCAATCCCCCGAGGAAATGTCCTCGAAATGTCCCGATCGCTTGCGACATGACAGAGGGAGTCGGGACTCGGGACACGGGACAGGCTCGCGAAGATTCTGGCCAGCCTGCTGGAGGGAGTCGCCGATGATACCGGTACCTACCTAGTCGGGACTCGGGAGTCGGGCCTGGTTACCTAATCTGGATCAACTCTGCGGAGTCTGGAAGAAATGATTGGTCGGTAAGGTTTTGCGCCGGCGGTACACCGTCCCTCGGGTCGGCGGGCCCTCGGTCGGGGATGGGTACCGCTGTTACCGTACCGCACGATTTGACTGCGTAGTGCGCACTGCGTACCTAGTACCTACCTTTATATAATATTAGGTACCTATACCTAGGTACCTTTACAGACATGCAGATTTCTCGGTGCCGGTACCAACCCGGTATCCACGTGGACCGAGCCAGAGCTTTGATTGGTGGCCCCGGCTAGATACCGCACGCTTCCAGGAAGAGCGCCGCCTGGGAAGAGGTGCGTCGTGATCACATTTGCGTGAGGTCATACCTATTCAATCAGGACTAGTAGTAGAAGTCAGGGGTACTACCTAGCTAGGTACCGTATTAGGTACTGGCACTGCTGCCTGCAGGGAGCTCTACCGTAGCTGAGCTCTTCTGAGGAGTCTTCAGCAGCTGCATTGTGGAAAAAGTCGGGTCAATTTCTCAGCTTCTGAGTCCAGTGCAAAGTCCACCCTGCCTCTTGAGATTCAATTTGACAGAAGGGAGAAAAAGCTTTGTTTTCTTGGCATTCCGGTGTCGCAAAAGCAACAATCTAGCCATTGAAGGAGTGTTGAGAATCGAGATAATCCATGTAGATGCAGCCTGCCAGTGCTGCCGAATGCTGAAGAGGAGTCTGAGATAGGCGGGAGTCAGTTGAGGCGTCGAGAAGTAGGTTGAAGGGGTTTAGCGCCTCAGGGTTGTCATCTTTGTCTGAGCACTCCCTCAGCTCTGCTTAAGAGGATAGTGGCTGTCAAGGCTTCTTGATTAGGCGAGTCGCATTGATGGAGTAAAACAACGGTGAGCCATTTGACCGCTCTTCTTGAGGTCCTTTAGTAATGAGCCGCTCGGCTGGAGTAATATCCAGGTGCTCATGATTTGTGTGTTACAGACTGCGCCACAACTTGACTGATAAGTTAGCAAGCATCCTGAAAGTCAAATGAGAGATGAGACTACGTTTCTGAAGCCTGAGCTGTACTCAAATGCATCAACCGTCTGGGCTCATTGCTTTCAATCATGTATTATTACCCATTTTCGCACTTTATCCTACTGACTTTTGAAACCTTCTCCTGCACAACCTTACATTGCCATTTTCCCTCCAGCCTGCTTTACAACACCCCAAAAGTGTACTCAGATCTGGCCGCTAGCAATGCGAGGCCAGAACGCGATGGATTTGGAGCTCATGAACCAGAGGAATGGCAGGAATGCCCCTCGGGGAAATGGACCCCATGTCCGGTTTGGAAGGTATGGAAACGGGTCCTTTTCCCAGAGTCATATGGCTCTCCTTCGAACCAGCAGATCTGCCGCCACTACTTTCAAGAAGACTGCAATGTGCTGAACAAAATCAGTAACATGAGGAGTTGCTTCACTTACCAGTGTTCTGCTACCTTGTGAGGCCTCTAGACACAAAAGCCTGCGCATATGATTATTGTCTGGTCCTTCGAGCCGTGCAGTTTCCAAGCTGCACAGAGTGCCCCATCTGTACTTTGCTGAAGTAAGCCTTTCCCGACATCGCTGATGTCTTGTCACTTTGTGGTCCTCACAGGCCGGCAGTACCCTTCGATGGTCCTACCTCTGAGATCGATGAAGAGGAGGAAAGGCCTACAAGGCCTATGGTCCCCAATGCTTCTCCAGAGGCTGTTGCCGAGTACCTCTCGCAGGTGTGCATTGCACTGCACTTTCAGTCCATTCTGATGTCGAGACTGCCTAACACGAAAGTGAAACCTGGATTTGGATAATTGTCTGCATAATGCAGGATGCCGCGCTCTGTTACTGATTAAGAATGTCCCAAGCTCCATGTTGCAATACCTGCTTCCTACCATTTGCTTCGCAGGAGTGTTTTCCACTTCGTTCCTGAAGGCTTTGTTCATCTCTCCTGTCTCCTCAAAGACTTTGTGCTTGCTGATTGCAGTACAAGATGCCAGTCAGGACACCACTGCACATCAAGGTCAACTTTGTGCCAGTTTTACTCCTGATCTTCTACCTCTGTGCCGCCGCCTTCTACTTTTACGTCCGCATCACGAAGACACTCGTGACTGGCCCAGTCTTTGCGTAAGTTTGAACTCTAGTTTTTGGCAGCAAAATCTCTCTCCAACCACACATGTCCCCACTCTCTCTTGAAAGGGCAAGATTGCAAGGTGGCCTTCTGTATGCAGCTGCAGCAATGTACACGAGAAAGTAACGAGGTCAAGAGCTAGAATCTTTCAGACGTCGCTTCTTTCTGCAAAGGAGTGATCTAAACCCTAAAACTCAAAATGGTAGACAGGGATTGAACATCAACCCCACATACTTGGTGTGGTCAAACGAGCCCTTTCTTTCCAACAGGTATGGAATCGTGGTTCTTGTGGTTGAGTTCCTAGGGCTCTCTGCCACTCTGCCCTATGCCATTCTCCTCACCATCAGCCTTGTTCCCAAAGGGAGTGCCACTGGGCTACCAGCTGAGGAGGAAGGGCTGAATTCAACCGAGCGTTTCAAGTGAGCTGCTATATCCATACGATCATTGTACCACGTTCGTGCGAAAACCTTCCCAAGCGACATGTCGGTGGCAATGCAAGATGAAGTAAGAGCAACCTGAATGATGACAGGCAGTATTTGTGAGCAATTTCCTGGTGGCACTTGTGCACGTACTGCAGATGGTAGGAGGCTCATGAGCAGTTTGGTCACCTTGCAGTTTCCATGTGCGGGTTCTAATTCCCTGTTACAAGGAGGATATGAGCGTCATAAAGCCAACGGTGATGGGGGCCCTAAACGCTGATCTCCCAATGGGGGCAAAGAGGACCGTGTATCTTTGCGATGATGGTAAGCCTATCAAAGACCCAGGTTTCCATGCTTTATGGTCTTGTCTATGCCTGTTTGTTACTGCTTCAGTGATATACTGACACCCTACTAAAGAATTTATCTAGCTTAGGCAGAATGGCAGCCAGAGCAACTGCCTAGCAGTTTCTAATTTGATTTGGTTCTCATCAAGCGTCGCTCTTTGTGTAGTCAGCTTCGCGAGTTCTAAGAGGCATTTGGTTGTTTGCGCAGGCAATGAGGAGCCCAAAAAGGTGTTTATTGAGCAGCTGGCGGCTGAGGGCAGGGACGTGGAGTATGTCAGTGGCCGGAAAAAGATTCCTAAGGACACAAATGGAAAGTCTAGCAACCTCAACAACTGCCTCATGAACGTAATCTACAAAGAGTAAGTTTGCACACCGTGTGCTCAAAGGATTGACTAAGCATGATGTTCTGAGAGTTGTGTTAAAAAGCTTTGATAGCTACAGCTGCTTCCCCTCGTATCCTCATGATCCAAGTACTTATCCTTGAAAGCGAAAATAAGCACAATTGCTGTTGGTTCTCCTGCAGTTACCGGTATCCTGGGACAAAGGAGATCAGCTGGGAGAAGATCCCAGAGACTGAGATCATTGTGGTTTTCGATGCGGATATGGTGGCCAAGAAGCACTTCTTCCTGCGCATCCTGGAGCCTCTCACAAACCCCAAATACGCTCTTTGCCTATCACCCCAGGTAAGTTTGAAAGTCAAGCACTGTGTTCTCAACATCTGTAGCGGAACGTTGGGCGCTTTGGCATGGTTCAGATCTTCCTGATATTAGAAACTGTCAACTTGCTCATCAACTGGGGAAATTGCTGTGACATTGTACAATAGGAACGCAGATACTCACAACTTACCTTTGTCTTTTAGGCCTTTCACAATATCCATCCTGGCGCGGACCTCTTCAACAACATCAACCTCCAGTTCTGGGAGTACTGGCTACCCGGTGCCGTCGCCTGGGGTTACATCGCGTGCACAGGGACCAACTTTGCCATCCGCGCCAGACCTCTGGCGCACTGCAAGTTCTTCCCCACTGTGAGTCCTTCCTACTCTCTTTTTTCCCTAAATATTGCTCACAATGTTTGGCATGCCTTCGGTGGCCACCCCTCAAGGTCTCCAGTCAGGCAATTACGCACAGTCTATGGCAATATTGCACGTGTTCAACCTGAGAACGCCCCGCAACCAGCAGGAGGGGCACCTGAAGGAATACAGCAGTCGCCTGTTCCCTCTTGCCGCACTGATTGCCTCCTGACGCCATGCCAATGTCACCTCTCCAGTACACCATTACGGAGGACTACGCCCTGGGTATGGAGCTCAAGAAGCATGGCTACAAGGGTTCATACCTGCTGGACTACATTGCCGAAGGAGAAGCGCCCGATGAGGTCCGCAACGTTATGCGGCAGCGCAGCCGCTGGTGCAAGGGCCACATGCAGGTGAACGTCGATCTGGCAATCGGGGCGCTGCGGATTCTTCATGATACTAGATGCAACACTTTCTTTGCCCTCACGCTGCGCAGACACCAATTGTGCATGGCGAGCGCCCTGGAGGAAACAGCTTTTTCCCTGAGGATATTAAAGTACAGTGGAAGATGCCGCACGATTCTGCTTGGAATCATCCATTGCAAGATTCGACTGGCTGATTGATGCTTTTGCTGAAAGCAGGGTTATCTCGGCACTGTCAAGCCATTTGAGACGAAATCGCCTCTTCCGTCCTGCTGCAGGTGTTCTTCAGTTGGAAGTACAGCCCCCTCACGCAGTGGCGCCTGAGCATCTTCCAGAAGCTGTGGTACTCGTACGGCACCTGGAGCTACATCGTGAACGTGATCGCGACCCCCGTCTCGCTCCTCATCCCGTTCCTGTCCCTGGGTTTCGGCCTTAACCCCGTGATCATCAACTACTGGTTTGCGGCAGGGGCCACCATGTACTACCTGGCAATCTTCCTTGTCCAGACCTACTTCCACCGGCTGGCGCACATCAAGTCGCTGTGGTTTGCCAACATCAGCAACACGGTCCTCTGGTTCACCTACACCAAGGCCGTCATCAACGTGCTGTTGTCCAAGTTCGGGCTCAAGGGCGGCGTTGGCTTCAAGGTCACGGAGAAGAAGGTAAGGCGTCCCGAGCGGAGGCAGTGCTTAATGTCGAGAAGACTTCTTGCTGTCTGGCTCCTGGGGTCGTGTTTTAAACCCCAAGATCTGTAGTGTAGACGGAGTGGTAGGCATGGTCTACGAAATCATTGCTCCAAAGTTGATCCCTCAACCTCAAGATTCTATATGAAAGATCCATCGTAAGAGCGTCCCCTGCACCTCCTTTTGGGCAACACCTTTTCTACTCACGTGGCACCTCCTCTGAAAGCTCCAGAAAACTCCGTCCTTCATCTGCTCTTAGGTCGCCGAGACAGCGCTCGCCCTCCCCTTGGCCGCTGTCCAGCGCGGGTTCAACCGCGTCCTTTCCCGCGTCAGCAGCCGCCGCCGGGACGCCCCCCCGCCCCGTCCTTTTGAGGGGGTCACCTACGCGAGCGTCGAGAAGGCTGATGCCCCCACTCCGGGAGCCACCCCTACCTCGGTGCACGAGTTTCAGCCGGGGGGGGCTACGCCCTCCGGCGAACGGGCACCCCCCGCTCCGTACAGCCCGCTTCAGTCCCAGGATAGCAGTGGCGTGTCGGTTGTGGGGACTCCCGGAGGCCCTGTGAATCTGACGGTGGTCGTGAACAACCCCCGGGAAACAGAGCCGCTCCTCTCAGAGAGCCGCCCGCTCCCCCCGAAGCGCGCGCCGTGGTACAAGCGGTTTGCGTCCATCTTCGTGGCGAAGAATCTGGTGGACGTGGGGGGCGTGCTGGACCCCACGGTGCTGTACATCATGCTCGGCTTCTGCCTGGCGGTGAGTGTTCTCCTCGTGGAATTGCTAAGACAGTGTACGGACGGTGTACGAGGCGATTATGGACGCTAACAAACGGTGTACAAGGCGGGCTGCAAGCTGGTGACAATGATGCAGGGACTTTTGAGTGCTAGCATTTTCCTAGATCGACGGGTGTCTTCCTCAGCAGTCGAGTTTAGGAGGAATGTACAAGAAGCAAAGAGTGCCGTAAAATGTAGCACGAAGGTTCTCTGGACCCTAGACTCTCTGCACGAACTTCCAACTGATGCCGCATTTAGTCAGACAGTTCGAGAGAGTCAAGAAGCTGAGCGCATCAATCGCTTCTTAAGTGCGTCTGTGCCCCTTCCAGGTCGTGGGCATGGCCATCTGGCGCACAGCTACCACGCCGGCAGGCGGACGCGGTGCGCGCTACGTCAGCCTCTCGCCCTACGTCGGCCTGCCCCTGTTCTGGGCGCTGTACAATTCCATCGCACCCTTCCTGTTTGTCGTCTATTCATTCACGTCCGGCAAGCCCTTCAGAAAAGCCGCCGCGTGGGGGCAGTTCCTGGGAACACTGACGTTGCTGGGCGCTGTCGTCTTGCTGTGGGCCACTGTACCCGTCGACTTCAACATGAAGGAAGCAACGTTCAAGGCCGGGAGCTACCTGTCGCAGCTGGTGAGAAGTCTGGTTGAGCCCCTCCTACAAGACACCAGGTCTGAGATGATTCAGGGTTGGGGAGGGTTGTGAGTTCGCAAAGAAGATTCAGGGCTTTGAGTCTGAGCTGGCGACTTGACGGCGGGCAGTGCTGAAGGTCTCTTAAATGTTGGATAAAGTCCTGAAAGCGGGGCGGAAGTTGGTTGCAGCACCTGTGCACTGTGCTCAGTGGCTTGGTCGGGACGTGGAGTTTGACACACCCGATCCTCTTCGTTGCAGAGGACCAACGCGGCTTCCTTCCAAGACATCGCCGCCATTAGCAACGGCACCGCTTCTCAGAAGGACGTCACGGGAGGGTGGCTTATCGGCAGCGACCCGGTCAAGTACGGGATGCCCCTGGCCACCAGCGCTTCTCTCCTGGCCTGGAGCATGCTGGAGTTCCCTCAGGGCTACAAGGATGCGGAGGTCTTCGACCAGTCGCTACAGAACGTGGTTGCAGCCGGGACCTACATCCTGAACAACTGGGATCCGACCAATTCCGTCTTCGTCGCCCAGGTGCGCTATTCCGGACCGAACATGCGCCCTTGAGCAGCATATTGTCACGTACCGTGATCTATCTCAGTGCGACCATCAGCGCTTCGTGCCTCGTTCTCTTCCTTGGATACTGATGCAGCAGAAAATCGTGCCACTTTAGAGATACAACTCTTCGCGAGCTTTCTTGCAAAGCTGAGTGATATCCATTCCGGCTGACGTCCATGGTCTTCGTTGGACATGTTTGATAAGTTGGAACTCCTTCTCCCACGATCTCAAGCTGGCAGACTAGGTATCTGAAGCACCTGCCTGAATTGTGTGCCATTAGATGCATTGTGTAGCCACCTAAAATGATATCCTCATAGTGGTTTATTATCTGGACATATTAGCAATTGAACCGCGGCTTTCGCCCAGAGAAGCCTTGTGCTTTCAAGCCAAGACCTCACTCGCAAGTTTCCTCTTGACCAGGTGGGCGACCCAACCAAATACCTCACTGAGGGTGACGCCCCCTCGCTGGGCTCCATCTGGACGCGCCTCCAGAATGACCCTAACCTCGGCACAGCCCGCCAAGCGTACATCCTCGACAGCACGCACGTCGGTGTCGACCTCCTCGCCGAGAGCGCGGCCGCCCTCGCGCTGTCGTCGGTCCTCGTGCGCAACTCTGGCAACACGCAGCAGGCCGACAGCTTCCTCCAGGGCGCCGAAACCCTGTTCACGCTCGCGAAGTCCACCCCGGGGCAAGAGCAGTCGTACTGCGCATTCGTCCCGTGCGGAACGACGGTGTCCAAGGCGAAGATGGTGCCTGTCGTGCCGCTCCCCGCGAGCGCGAACCTGGACCCCGCCGAGATCAAGTGCTGGGTGCCTGACTTCCCGCTGGCCACGTGCGGGTTCCTGAAGGACGAGGGGCTGTGCCTGAACGCGGCCCAGACGGCGCCGGTCTACACGCGCCGCAGCAGCTGCTGCGCATTCATGCGCTCGGCAGGGGTGTGGCAGAACCAGACGACTCCCCAGGTGACCATTCGTTCCAGAGCTCAGCTGACTTGGTGTGCATCAAGCTGAAGCACCGGAAGGATGCTGCTCACGTTGGTCCACTTCCTAGCTAGCGAAGCTTGTCTCAGCAGAGTTCATCTGGAAGGAGGATGTGAGCCTGCAAGACTCTAGTCTCACAAAACTCTAGTCTCACCAGTCACCTGCAACGACCGCTTTTTAAGCCTCGTTTCTCGTCTAACCTTGCCACTCTTCCATTCCCGTTACTGATCCTAGTACGAAGTCCATGCCACTTTGAAGGAGACAGTCGCTGATTTCTTCAAACAAAAATGCCAGATGTCCAAGTCTTGTCCCCTCCTCATTTGCAGGGCGCATGCGCCCTTCCCGAAGGCCAGTTCGAGTGCTTCGTCCCCCAGCTACAGACCCGCGACTGCCTCACCCAGACCATCAGCCTGGATACCGGCAAGGGCTGCACCGGTCTCGGCCAGGACTTCTTCCCCACCCCCGAGTCCTGCTGCAACCAGCTCACCAAGAGCCAGGCAATCACTGCCTCCGCGCCCGGACGTGGAGTCTGCGCCCTGGGCCCCTCCACCTGCTTCGTGCCGAACACCGTCTCGCGCTCCTGCGTCCAGCTGAACTCGACTTCTGGATCGCAGTGTGCTGCATTTGGTAAGATGCCCAGGTTCTTTTGTCACTTGGAGAGCAAGAGTCTTCTGGTGGTGGTTATAGTGACAAAGTTTCGAAATTTTTGTGTTCAATTCGTTCCAGGTTCGGTCAGTCAAAGAACTCCAAGTGTCTTATCCAAGCATCTGGTGTTGGTAACCGCACCTAGATGCATTCCCCGACAGACTCGGTGGAGTCTTAGCAAAGCAATGTCTTGACGAACGTTTCCTGTCAACCCGTCCCTTTGTTCCAACGTGTCGCTGTTACTCACCGGAACGCTCCTGTCCCTTGTGCAGGGGCGACTGACCAGTTCGACTCGGCGCTCACGTGCTGCAACTCGCTCGTGGCCAAAGGGGCCATCAACAGCGACAGCCCCGGCCGGGGCTTGTGCGGAGACACCGCTCTATCCACGTGCTGGGTTGCCGACCTTGCGGGAAAGCGCTGCATCAATTTGCCGTCCGCGCTCCCCGGTTTCGAGGATGCCAAGTGCGCCGATTTCAGTGAGTGCCTCAGTCTCGAGTTGCGCCTTTCCGAGTCGATTAAATCCTGCGCTTTCGACGTCTGTCGTGCTGCCCAATGTGAAGCAGCTTCATCAGCCATTCCTAGTTTGTAAGTGGTTGCTCTTATTGGTGGTCGGCAGGCGTTACTGATTTGGGCCAGCGGCAGTGAGCACAATCTCGCTGAAAAAGCCAGCTTGGAGTGCCAAGTACGTCTTGCTAGAGTGTGCTCTTCTATCGCTGGTCCCTGTAGTGTTTTTAGCATTTTAGTCTCATTTTAGAATTTCAAAGCTTTTGCTCTCCCGCCTTACCACGCCTAACCACGCAGGTCTCATCTTGACCATGCAGCCTGCCGCAACAAAACCTTACCGGGCTCCCTTCTTTCCTCTGCAGATTCGAAGACCCGCTTCGATGACAAAGCGGCCTGCTGCAACGGGCTGTACGTCATGGTCGGCGGCGTGGGGCCTTTCTTCGACCCGTCGTGCGCGCCCCCGCCAACGCCCGCTCCATCAACGCCCGTTCCCACAGTCAAAGCAGTAGTCACAGCAGCCCCGGTTCTGCCCGAACCCACGCTCCCCGCGCGACGCCTCCTCGAAAATGACGTGTCACCCAGCAACAGGCGGCTTCTCCAAACCGTCGACGTGTCGCCGTTCCTGAACCTGCCGCAAAACGTGCTGGCGCAGCAGGAGCAGAAGCTGGTGCAGACGACGGTGCCCGTCGACTTTTACCCCAGCCATACGGTGCTGGATGACCTCTCGTGGGCTGGCGTGGCGCTGTTCCTGGCGACGGGGCAGGAGCGGTATCTCGGGGACGCGCAGGTGCGTTACAAGGTCGTTGTGAGACGTGTTTGTTTGTTTCAAAAGCTACGGGGCCCAGTGGGTTTTCAGGGAAAAGCTCAGGAAATATTCTGAGAGCTTGACCTCAACCGGCATCAGCGGCACCTGACTGCGCGCGATACAGTGAACAGCACATGGTATTCATGGAGTGAACTTGAAATCTTTCAGCAGATTAGTACAAGTCTGGTGAGAGACCTACGGCCGCAGACGATTGTTTTGGGAACGTCATTCCACAGTCACGCCCCACTGCAACAGGCGTGCAAAAACCTGAGCACTTCCTTGTCGCTCCGACTTCGCCCGCGGGGACGATCCGAAACCAAAATCAAACCTAACCTAAACTCCTAAACCCTAATCTTCCTCGATGTGCCTGTGCAGTTCTACATGACGCAGCACCTGGCGCGCGAGGCAGTGGGCGCGCAGGCGAACACGGAGGCGGGTTACTACGTGTACAACTACGACACCGCGGTCTGGGCGGCCGCCAGCGTGCTGGCCCGGGTGACCGACCTGCCGCAGTACCACGAGCAGATCCGCACCTTCCTGCGCGCCTGGGTCGAGCTTACGCCGCCCAAGATCAGCCCCGACGTGGTAAGCGCGCTGGCCCGGCTGTCCAATGCGTGCAAACCTTGAGACGTACGTTAGTCAGGGTGACTGGATGCTGGGTATTGTTCAGCATCAGCGGAAGCTTCTGGGTGACAGTGCGCAAAGGGAAGCCGTTTGATGTTTGCCGGAATGAAACGGCATCTGGTCATTTGTTGAGAGGGAAGGCGTTTGATGGTGGGCTTCGACGGCGTTGCTGAACACGGATGATTCCACATCTCGAAGTTCCGCAATGGTGACTTTCTGGAATTCGGGGCATGCGCAAGCCTTTCTACGCTTGAAGGAAGGCGAGCCGAGTCTGTGACCAGTCAACTAAAGTCTTCTCGGTTAGGAAGGGATCTTATCCGGAGTGATCATCTGCCTCGACGCTGGTGCCCGGTTTTCTGGCCGCATCGACAGCGTGTCTGCTTTTCAATCGGGTCTTCAAAGAGTATGGTGCACGGCAAACACTTCCGTCATATAAGGCATACAGATTCCTGAGACTGGCCCCCGACGAGAGCTCTTTCTGAAGCCGTCCTTTTCCCCACAGCTCGCGGCCAAGCAGCTGGCGTCCCAGGCGGTCAAGAACCAGAACATGATCAAGGAGAACATCCAGACGTTCAACAACCAGTCGTTCCTGGTCTTCGACGGCTGCACCCCCGACCGCAACACCACAAAGGAGGCCAAGCTCGTCGCCGCGCAGCTCGCGCTCAAGAACGCCGCGCTCGGGGCCACCGGCCCAGTGATCCTTACCGACCCGTTCGCGGTAACGTTCGAGGAGAACTGCAACGACGGGCGCGACAACGACTGCGATGGTCTGACGGATATGGAGGACCCCGACTGCCCCTTCATGCCCGTGCAGTGAGTGCCTGCACTCATGCAATGTTCAGAAGCATCCAGCGCGGCAGTTTTCTGCTATTCTGCTGACCGCTTACGAGAGGCTGGGAAAGAGGACTTGAGGTTATGGCAGTGTCGTATGGCAGTGTCGTATGGCAGTGGTTTCGTTCTGCTTGGATGTATGACCCTTTGAGATGAAGGACAAGCATCTGAGTTGTTTGGGTGGCATTGCTCCGAGCCAGCCTGACAATCCGATCAAAATCCTCTTGCGTGTCGTCCTGCTTCTCTGCTTCGTCCTTTCTCTAGGCATCCCTGCTCTGAAATAAAAGCGGACGACAAACATCAGATATCTTGGGGTTTCGTGTCAGCTCCGGGCTACATGTCCAGAACGCAAAGCGGTGTATCACGACGATTCCTAAGGCTCTTCGAAAACCTTCAAAAGCTGATCCAAGTGCTCCCGTCCGTCCCTGCAGGTCGACCGACCTGTCCCTCGCGTGGACCAAGGACGCGCCCCTGCCCAACGCCGCCGCGGCCTCCTTCCTCGCCCTAATCTATTCTACCTCAAACAAGACGAACACGGACCAGAAGCGTGGCCTCAAGTGCTGGGCCCTGGGCCAGATGCGGTACATGATGGGCGACAATTTCCTGTACCCCGACAGTTGGAGCTATGTCGTCGGGTTCGGCAACAAGGGTTACCACCGGCCTACCCGCATTCCGGACCGCGAGTCGTCGTGCCCGGCGGACGCAAACCAGCCGTGCGACTTCTTCAACGGCTACTTCCCAGGGCTGCCGAACCCGCAGCTCGGCCTAGTGACCGGCGCGCTCGTGGCGGGCCCAAACCTCGACGATACATTTACAGACAGTCGGACGTCCAACAACACTCGGGTTGGTGCGGATTTCCAGACGGCGTTCCTGGCGGCAATGTCAGGCTTGTTAGACATGGGGGTAGATGTCAAGACCTGCGGGCAGCTACAGGGGGTTTACAATGACGTATTTGACTCGGGTGATTTGTAGGGGATGGAAATACAGGTGGTCGGTCTAATGGATGATGTTTATTGGGGGGCACATCCGCTTAGTGCTTTATGTAATGCTGGACATAGGTGGTCTGTTCTAGTCCTGTGGAGTAGTTAGATGGGGCCATAAGGGGTCCCGAAGAGGTGGCCCGCACTGTTTTCGGTGCTTTGTTCTTCCTTAGAGCAAGAATAGTCAAACCTTTTAATTGATAGAATGCAAGTGGGAGTGAAGCGAACTGAAGGTAGATTGATTTGAGAACAAAGAGTTGAACTTGCTACAGCATGGCAAACTGCACAATCAGTGCGACTTCTATGCTACGCTGTGTAAGCCAATCTGCATATGTTCCGAATCTAGCTTGAGTGCAACTAGTTACATGCATGACCATGAACTCTGTGTATGCATACATGTCGCGAACGTGCAGAACTGAACTGGATCTACAGAAGCCATGATGAGCTTCGTTCTGTCGGCATACAGCACGATCATCGGTTGTACTTGAATTCATGTTGAGGTTGGGCACCGGCAACTGGACTTGGCACATGTTTCATTTTCATGGTCTCGGAAAACTTTGTTAACCAACCGCCCCGCCGTTCGCTGATGCAGGCATGATGGGACATGCTGTCACTGCAAATCGGAATATCCCTTAGTACGTGCACTGTGAACATTCTTCATGGCCCGTTTCCCCCATTTTTACCTCGGTTTTTTGGTTAGAAAAACGAGCTGGTGCTTTTACCCTGGCGGTACCGGTACAAAACGTTTCGGAATTGGGCGAAGTGGCGCTCCAGACTGGTATCATGCACTCATAATAAGCTCGATTTATCCATCGAAGGCCACTTTTGGCCGCTTTCAGGTATGAGAATGCTCGAGCCTTTTTTGTAGGGGCCCCCATTCACACCACAAACGACAATCGTGAGTACAATTTAACACACTGACGATTGTACACGTGGAGTACCGCTATTGCTACGCGCAGTCATTCCTCACCCGCGTGTTGCTCGCGTGCAAAAGCAGTGTCGCACCGAATTGGAAGTGCGGTCCCACGGCCGCCTGAATATGTCGAGTAACAGTCTTTAACGTACAGAGAAAATCATAAGGTATTTAAGTGATTGGCAAATTTGTATCTGACTATAGGGCACAATCCCGGGTGTAAATAAATAAGAAACGGGAACCTATCCGGCACGGCGCCTCCCCTGTACCTCGCAAAATCGAACATTCACACCGCACCGCGGTTTAGCATTTTTTACTGCTTATTTACACAATAGTAAGCTGGGCTTCAGAATACAGCGGCTAATATCGAGGGTTTTAACTTTTAGGGCTTGGCAGCCGGGGCGGCGGGGCCGCCGCGCTGAGCCTGGTGCTGCGTGCATGCCAATGATTGATCATGGCGGCGCCGCAGTTGGCGCGACCTTGCGTTCCCACCCAACCCAGCCCGGTCAGTCTACCGGGCACCAAGGCCCCAGCGTTCTGGTATCTGCTATGCACCATAAGGGGACGCGCTGTTCAAACGGGCTCCATCGGCCCGTTACCGGACACTCTGGAACCATTCCCATTCCGATCGGACCCGACAAAGACCCGGCCGGCCATCTCAGCCTTACCGTAATAGTGATCCAGGGTTTCAAGGGCCACGATGTTGAGCACTGCTACATCATCCTTGCGGAGCGATTGATCACCAGCGCTTGACACACGATGGACAGCTCATGGGAGAGCAAGGATGATGTTGCAGCCTTCCTCAGGGATTTGGATCCTTTGTATGAGCCGTATGCAGAGGCTTTTTGGGCGGACGGAAAGGGTTTTAGGCGTGCCAGACAGGTTGCACGCAGTGACAAGGAGGACCTGCTCAAACTTGGAGTCTCAGTATTCCACGTTGGAGACATTATTGCTGGGGCCTCCGCCAAGTGCCAGCAAGGTCAGTGATATGGCAACAACAGCTAAAAATGTTTTCTGCATCATTGCTTTCAACTGGCTGTTTGGATTGTTTGAAGGGAAGGTGGTACAAAACCAGTTGTTGCTTGACTAGTTGTTTAACAAAAGTCAGACCTGTGCAACAGCATTCGTGCATGCCTGC